GCCATCGCATATCGAAATTGCACGCCATTTTCTCAGATAGGACATTGCGGTCCCATAAAGTCGCACGGCTAGACTGAATGCATTATCCTCCCTGGAATTTTAAAGGATGTTCCACACCCACTATTACTATGCACCTTCCACCCTACCACGTGTCCGCCACGAAACGACCAATGGAATTACGAGCCACGCGATATTAGTTTTCCCGCCAAAATTATATCTGTCATCTGTCAGAACGATCATAATGCAACATGCCTACCGGCCTGTATATCTATATCCCTTTAAAGCATTAAGATTGACGTAATACGAATTCAAGGTGACAGTGTGTCGGAGAGAAATATTTTTTAAAAAATTGAAAAACAAAAAAAAAACAGTGTCAACCATCGACTCGTATATGTCCACCGTGTGGACATATGCAATACGTATACGCGGTTAACGATGTCCGGCACGTTTAATCTTATCCCATAAAATTGAGCCGTTTCGCATGGCGACAGGAGAGGACGATTAATCCTCATTCGGTCGATAAGGGTATCCTAAGGGATGACGATGGACGATGGGGTTTCAGAGGTTATGCCAGATCACCGTGAAGCTTCCTTGGTAACCCAGGTACGTCCTGCGTGTGACAAGATTGACGGGATGAGGATTCCGAACACGTGGGGGATAAGAAGAAGAAAAAAAAAAAGAAAGACAGACAAAGAGAAGAATGAACCAACAGAGGCAAAGAGAGAAAGGACACTAGCCATGCAAGTGAGAGAAAAAGGTCCTGTGAGTGACGTTTAGCCGACAGAAGTCCCATCCCCACTCCTTTAATGTCCCGATAGAACATCCCCTCCCTAAACCCATCTTACTTATCCCCCGCAATCTCTATCGCTGTATTAGAACCTGGGTATTTCGATTACCCCCCCCAAACGCCACGCTGATATTCTTTGCGCCTTCTCGAGAGTGTACGTGGCAAGGAGAAGAGTCGGGTGCGACGGAGAAGAGGGCTCGGAATTGCTCGCGGTGGAAAATAGAAAATGGCACGGCCTAAGAAGGGGGTGAGTAGACGGGAAAATTTTTGGTGGTGCGAAATTACGCGGAAAGTATAACGTTGGAAACAGAACGTAATTATTGTAAATTATCGCAATGCTTTGTCGAGGAGGGGGGAGGGCGGGGAGGGGAGAGTGGCACGACTACGCAACAGAGACGGTAGGGATGATGGGTTGGAAAGGTGAGAGGGCACGGTTTCGGCTCACTCAAGTAATTAAGAAAGTTAGGTAATGCCCTCAAGGCTCATTTTCATAATCACCGCGATAATGGTATAAATTAACAGTTAACGTAAATCAAAGATGTTTTTAAACTGGGCTTTGCAGACTTCTATCTTACGCTACGTTGCAGTAACTCCTCCAGATACGTGCACCGTGTACCCCAACATTCAGATATCTTTCGGGGATAAGTTCCTGGCGAGAATCCGAGTGAACAAGTCTTTATGTAAATGTAACCAAGCACCTTGAAATTCTGCGGATGCCGCCTATTTTATGTACGAATAGGGGTGTATTACGTACGATGGCTACTTCTAACTCGGCCACCTCTTACGCACCGAACATGGATTCAAGGCTGACGAATCATTTGTATCCAAGCCATTATATAAATGTACGTTTTCAATGAAATGTCTGGAAGTATGAAACAAAAATTATGCTTTTCGACTTAATTTTGTTATTTGTTTTTCGAAACGCATACTATTCTTAAAAATTCGTGAAAAAAAAAAAAAAAAAAAAAAAAAAAAAAAATTCACTGGCTTTCTCGAAAATAAAAAGAACTAACAAAATTTGTGAAACATTAATACAACCGCTAGAATTCTATATCTACGTAAACACAGAAAACCTCCTCCCTAACGTTATGATCTTTTAAACAAACAAAAAAAGAGCATAAAAATTAGCCTTAGGTTTCACATGAATGACTAAACTTGCATGAAAAAAAAAAAAAAAAAAAAAAAAAAATCAGAAAACCTCCTCCCTAACGTTATGATCTTTTAAACAAACAAAAAAAGAGCATAAAAATTAGCCTTAGGTTTCACATGAATGACTAAACTTGCAAAAAAAAAAAAAAAAAAAAAAAAAAATCTACGTAAATTTTCCTGGGATGAAATACACTTGGATACCAGCGTTATGAGGGTGGTACAAAAGACACTGAAGAATCATATAAAACAAGTTAAAAATAAAAAAGTAGTATCAGAGGCGCAGCGGTATTGTCATTATTCGCGGGAAATTCGAACGGTCGACTGCTACGATATATCCTATACGTATATCTGCATAGAACCCCATGCATAGATATGCGCAACTCGTATTCTCGAACGCAATCCCTGCAACACTCGTATACGAAGCCTCGAGAATTCGAGGCTTTCTCGACGGATAACCAGATTAATTAAGGTCCCTGCAAACGAGGAGATACCTCGTGTTAACAAACGCGAATTAACGCGATGTGCCGCGCGAATCCTGGAAATTTCGCTCTCGCAACAAAGAAATTAACGTGTCCCGGGATTGCGACTGGCAGCTGACATCGAGACGGATATATAACGAAATCTGACAAAAGGCTCTGGAAAACGAATAAAATCCTTATTGTATAAAGTCCCGATACTCAATAGGCACGACGAAACGTAATTGACCAACGGAATGCGCCCAATGGCATAATCCAAATCTACGAGGTGCATTTGGGTTGAATCTCCGAACGTTACGATTATTGAAAACAGATTGAGACGGTCACTCTTTCCAGGAAGTTCAAGAACGCCTGGAGTACCGAGATAGCAACGCGAATCCTCAACGATAGACGTTATGGACGTCGTGCGACGTGGATGGTCGTGCTTCTGGTGTCGTAGATAACTATTATTTATTTCTCGGCGATATTAACGCGACTTAAGGCACAAAGAAAGTTGCGGGACCATTAATAATAGAGTATAGCAGGTACCTCGACTGCTTGTACATGCTAAAGTATAGTACATGCTATACCGTCTTTAAATTATTATCGGCAGGAAAAGTAAAATATGTGACGCTACATACGCCAAGTAGTTATCTTATTTTTCAGAGAGTTCAACGTGGCGCCACCGTCGTATTACCTGATCAATTTCTAATATATATTCTGATCCCCGTCAGGGAATACTTCTTCCAGCGAACTATTCGTATTGGTTAAGGAAAGCGAAAAAAAGAAAAAAAAATGTAGTAAAAATATTGGTGTCAGTTATATGAAATGTCGATCGATTTGACGCGCATTCCTGGTGTCGCCAAACTCCCGTACTCGGCGAAATCGACGACGATAAGTCTTTCCGTGGTCGCGCGCGACAGGAGGAGGAAGAAGTGGAACGGGAAAAAGTATCGCAGCGACACTGTCGGAGGATCGCAGAACGTAATTCCAAAACAGGAATAAGAAGGCGCGAAAAGCGTGGAAGAGACCCCAGTGCGAAGCTTTAAATTCTCGTAAAAAATGGCCCCTCCGGATTAAGAGGATTTGGCCTCGCGCGTTATCAGCTTAGAATGTTCGTCGGCTGAAGGAGATGAAGGGGATGCAGAATAAGGGGGCGGAGCGGGGGGGGGGGCGAGAAGCTAGAGAATACCTAAGAGTGGGATGAAAATGCAGGGAGGGGAAGTTGGAAAACGGTAACGTGGAGGGGTACGCGCACGCAAAGGATTCGACACTGATGCAAAGAGCGGGTGGAGGGGTAGGTGAAATCTCAGTGGTGGGGATGTGAAAAAGCCGAGGTGTATTCGTTCGTTTACCCAGAGCTTCCGTGTCCGCATAAATCATTCAGGGTCGCAGGAGGATGAGTACTCGAGGACTAACAAATATATCACTTTTAGACAGCTCAAGAATAAAACAAACAAAGACTTGGTATCCTTTACTTTTGCACTCTGTGCTATACGTCACACCACCGTTCTACGCAACTCTGCGTCTATTACACTCGCCCTATGTGTATGTACATACACTGGATACCACAGTGTACAGAAAACTGTATTGGGGCTGGCCATAGCTGTATTTCAAAAGATTTTGTTATTACAACTTTTGATTGTACGTGTAATCGTTTCTCCCTAGGGAAATCTTCGTATATCGTGGTAACAGTGGTTTAGTAAATTTCGATTGGAGCTCTTAAATTACGTTACGATTCGAAAATAAAAATATGAAACCTGAATATAATGAAAATATTATGTTAAGAAAGTAGATCATTGAATAGTGTAGAATTATGAACCGTTTTTATAAAAACATTGGGATATTTCAAAGACGTTATACTTTCTTTTCCTTTTTTTTTTCATAATACAGCTTATGAACGCTTCCAAAACTACTGAAATTGCTCAACAATACTCTGTAGCAGGACAATGGCAACTTCAGAGGGAAAAGTGGCTGTGTTAAGTTCGCTACTTGAAGTTTTCTTCCAGGCACGTTTCCGAGTAAATCCTTTTAATTAGCTAAAATGAGCAAAGAGCACGCGCAACTGGTTGAATGTTAGTTTTTTATTGGAATTTTTAAGAAGTACTTTATCTAGATTTCATTTTTTAATATTTTTCTTCTGCTTTCTCGGACTCTTTTATCCGCAGTGCCGCTTTCTATTAAGTATATCACGCTTTAGACTTTTTGTATAACCCACAATGCAAAATTTCCCGAACTTTTCGCTCAATCTGAAGTATTTACAAGATTTCTAAGAGCATAATATATTGGTTCTGTTTCAACTTATATTTCTTTCGAATAGTTGACGTATTAAATAGCGATACGAAACCACTTGCATTAATTTGGAGGAACTTAGATATTAAATCGGGTAAAAATAATTCCATCGAAACAGATTAATCATTTGCTTCTGACGTAATCATTTTAAATCAATTTCGTTTTGAAAAGCTATCTTATTACATACATAAAATGCTAATCAAAACTCAAACTAATATCCTGGTTGATTATACACATACATAAACGTTCCTATCATTTATATAGTGATAAAATCACATAATAAATAAATTTATAGTAATGATTAGCGAGAATCCTACCTGCAGACTCGGATGACAACCCAATTCCAGGAGAGTGCGCACCACACCAGCATGTCCTTTGTTGACGGCAACATGTAGGGCTGTTTGGCGCCTTTTATTACGAGCATTTAAATCCGCACCAGCGCCGGCAAGAAGCGCCATTACACCAGGTTCATCACCAAAAGCGGCATGATGAACAGCTCTGTCGCCATCTTTATCCTAAGAGAAAAGGTTTACAAATGAAGTTACTAAATGCACTATATTAAAAGTTTGCGAAAAAATTGCAAAGTATACGTATATATGTTTTCTAAAAAGTGATTATTAAAATACCTCTATTTCAACATCTGCCTTGTAACGAAGAAGAATTTTGATAACTTCCAAATGACCATTTTGACTTGCAGCCTGAAGTGCAGTGTGGCCTGCGAAGACACCATTCACATCAGCTTCCGGTCTCTTCAAACAGTCCTCACATTTAGACGCATCACCATTAGCTGCAGTCTTTACTAATTCTTCGTTTACGTCTCCAGACACGTGGGATTCGAATAACTTTTTTAACAAGGCCGATAACCGTTCTGTAAATATGTATTATACTTAATAGCACTAGGATGTATACAAGAGTAATATGAAATATTTTGTAATGTAAAAAATAATATAACACAGACCTCCACTACTATTTCCTGGTACACTGCCATCGCTATTTGCAACTTTGGTTACTGCCTGAGGATTGTATGTCCAAGATGTGCTACATACTTCAACTTTGAGATCTCCATCATGATATACCTGTTGCACTCTGCCAATCTTACCCAGAGTCTATGAAAAGGAAAAGCATACTTTAAAATTGTTATCAAGATTCTTATATTATAATAATCATATGTATGCGCATACAGCCTGCTAAATGTATTTAAAATTAAAAAATAAATGCGAGGAATAATCAATATAGAATATTTGCTTGTTTCACAGATTTGACCTAAAACGACATAAAACTAAAAACTTAATCTCAAATGAATGGATGTTCAGCAGAAAGCTATAACACAAAATTATCCAAGTACGGTATTTAGTTGTACAGCATATTGTATTATTTTGCTGCAGAATAGCGTTTCTACACTGAAAGTCCATATGATGGTAAAACAGAATTTCTGTAGAAACCTTCTCATACTGAATTAGATAAAGTCGCTAATAGTTTAATTATAATTTGAATATGAACATTATGCATCACTTACGGGTGCCATAGCTTCAGCCCACTCGCCATGTCCACGTTGCAGCAATTTAATCTTTTCCAAATCGTTACATATTTTCACTAGGTCACCCACAGCAAAAGTTTGACTATCTGTACTTGTACTAGATACTGGAACTGGTATTGGAACTTTAGTTAACACTGCTGGATTGAAAGTCCAACGATTTCCACTAGGATAGGATACGACAATGTCATGATCCTCATCGATACCAACAACTGTTCCTGTGGTACCAAGGCATTCGAACATGCCATCAGTCCAGCCACCATGACTATGCTGAAGAGACTGTACTATCTCTAGATCCAAATCAACTTTAACCTGTACCATTAACAGAAATAAGTTAGAAAAATGTATATTATTGTATACTAATATAGGTACAAGTAGTTTATCACCTTTACCTGATCTCCTATCTGTAAACCATGAGGACCTGTACGCCCTGGTCCTTGTTCTCCAAGTAATGGCAAATGATCTCTATAAACTGTTTGACCTTTAGCATCGTTGACAACCTTCAAATCTGCCTGAAATCATTAAATAAAAATTTTGATTATACTTAATTTATAATTTATAATACACGAAACGAACCTTGCCACGTTTCATTAACTTACCATTCCTTCAAAACCGACTCGATACAGATTTTTGGCACCATTATCCCAAATAACATAAGCAGCAGATCGAGGACTAGCAGCAGACCAATCCTGAACTTCATTAACTTTTCCTCGCCGACCATTTCCACCATCTTGATCCTCCCATTGCCAATCTACACCTCTGACTACACGCGCTCCAGGAAATATACCACGAATAGCAATCTATGATAAAGGGTAACACATTAGTTATCTTTCTTCACTTGTGTAATCTTAAATTTACCTTTTTGCTCTTTCTTCTACTCTCTAGCATAACTCTTTCACTTCCTGGTGTAGCAATACGATAGAATCGATGTCTCAGATGGTGTTTGTCTCCATGATAACATATAGAGCATAAGTCATAATTTCCACACTCTGCACACTTCCAGCGTATTCCAAATATTGGTTGTTGACGACAAGTATCACACATGGTACCATCATGTTTCACGCCCGTAGGTGCAGAATCAAGTACTCTTAAATCAAATGCTCCAGAACAGCGATAGTTTGCTGCTGTGCCATTATCCCAGACAACTACGACTTCTTCAGGAGATTCGAAATTCCTTACGGTTCCTACGTGACCTTCTCCTCCATCCTGTTGTACATAATATAAATTACAAATTCTTTATGATATGTATAAATAACTTTTCTATATTTAATACAACCATCCAAATGCTAAGTACTCATACTCTTTAGTGTATTTTTTTTTATATTTATTAACAATTAAACTCATATATAAGACCAGTATAGAAGATTGTCCAATATGCAATCAAGTTTAAATCTTGAATTTAACTGTTAATGACTTTACCTGAATTTTATCCTTTACATTTAAGTGAAAAATCAAAATAAACCTAAATTGAAACGATAGTTATATCATTTTGTTAATAAGCATAAAATAATAGGAATTTCAATATTCATAAAAACAAAAAAAAGATGGTCTTTCAAATAACAACATTACTGCTTGTAATCATGATTAACACATTATAAAAAATTAGTGAACAAAAAAGAGTACAAAGTCATGTACATACAACTGCACAATATTCACACAGACAACTTGTTAAAAAGTAAAGAAAAGGAAAGTACTTAAAATTTCCAGCAATAAATGCATAAAAGAAATAATGTTTTAAAACATTTCTGATCAAGGAATAAAAAAATAAAACAAATTCGATTCAACAAAACCCATTTGCAAAGATAAAAACCATTTGCATAAGAGATATCTTTATGTGAAAAATGTTTCAGTTATTGACAACCTCAACGATCATCTCTTAAGACCTATACAATGAATCAACAATACAAGAAATGGTAACACAAAGTATGGAAAACTAATAATAACATGGTCATCATGAACAGCTTGCTATCCTAAAAATGTCAATGATTGCCTGAAAATCGGAGCAATTAATAATTTAGGCAGGATGAAAATTGCCCAGAATATAACAAGATTCATCTGCATTTGGAAATAAATGCAAAGGCATTAGTATAATGTTTTTCATGAAACTTGAAATTTGGTTAACTAAGAATTCTAACCTGCTTGCCCCATTTCCATTCTGGACCGCGGATGACCCTAGCACCGACGCCTTCCATCATAAATCTCGTCGTGCGAGCACCGGCACTCGCACCAGCCTCCATCATTCATTGACAAACGAACCTTCACTGAAAACGCGAAACTTCAAAGAGCACAAAACACTTTGCTCAGATACGTACACTGAAAAATACCGCCATCTTAAACTAACGTCAAAACACTGTGGCATCACAAACGGTACTTATTCTCCTAGAGAACTTCTGCTGTCCCATTTTCCAAAATTAATATTTATATATCGGTTGATTTTTTCTTTTCAATAAATATATGACATAAACTGATCATCCGTGATACTGTATTTATAATACACATGTGCTTATTTTTAAAATTCAGTAATCAATCACACTCCAATATCCATTTCACAAAAAAAAGCATTTAGCTTACATAGTTTAAACTTCAGGATATTGCATTTTATCGCTAAATAGATGATTTTAAAACCAATAGTAGTAACATATCATATCTTCCCGATAAGGTCATCTGTTCGTAACACGTGGTCCAACTATTAAGGCCGTTCTACAATCGGACGTTGTAGGTAGAGTTTTGTCGTAACTCGTTTCTGCAAGCCAATCGGAATTATTTTTACGCTTTTTCGCTATTCCGATTAACTTGTGGGAAACAAATTACGTCATACAACTGATTGTAGAATGGCCTTAAACATGATTTAATATGAATCTGTAAGCTGTATCTTTATTTTAATATGCAACATTAACATATCATAAATTTTGTATTGTACAAAAACTCTATGTGAATCATTATCATTGTGCTATTAAAAATCTTTCATAATTGGATGAAGTTATTTATAAATACTCAATTACTTTGTTCTTTATCCAAACGAACATAAGAAATGTCAACCTACATATATATTACGGCCCAAGGATGTATCATTTTACAATCAATAGATTCTCCTTTTCTTGTGGATTTAGACAACAGAGATCAGTAGGGAGATGCACAACGCTACGGTTTTAGGCGATACCAAAAACATAGCGATAAATCGTAGCGGCGAGTCCGGGAATAGAATTTTGTGATCATCGCCTCTGTCGATGTTACAGATTTCGCGTAGCCGCGCGGATCATGATCATCTTTCCAGCCGATATTGCAGTCAGCGAAAATGAATGGATTGCTCGGTGGTGGGGAAAAAGTTGCCGCCCCTCACAAACCGTTCTTGACAAACAGGCGGAACAGCAAGTCTTCCGTATAACCGAACCCTAAATATTTGTATGGACGTAATGCGCAAACAAATGTGTATATTCAAATAAATTTCAAAGTTATAAAAAATGCATAGAAATATTGGTTTTTATTCTTTACCTCTTACCATGTCGAAAATGAACATTAAAAAATGCATGGCGAAATTCGTTGGTAAATGAAACGACCGAGAACAGTTCAAAGAGAAATTTTGAAATATCATAGATAAATATCTATAATAAATTTAATTTAGTATTAAACAAGCATCGTGGCTGAGTCAATAACCTGTCAAAATATAACGCTGCTGGTTACGGGTTCGATCCCCCATGAAGAACTCTTTTTCCATCTTCTTTTTTTTTTCATTTTACTACAAAAATTGTTCAAGGTTCCTTTCTTTTAAACTTTCTAGGTTGCCCAAGCTTTATTTTAAGTTTATATATTTTTTTTTTATTTTATCTATGACAGAATCGACTAATATTTTAAACGCCCACTCGTGCCGCGCAACCGGCGACTTGAGCGGTTGCGGGTCCTCTCTCGCTGAGGGTGTCTGCTATTGCTGTTACTGCTGCCGCTGGTTCTTATAATCTTATAAATACTTTTTTATTTGCAATCTTCAGTTCCAGCGCCCAGTGTAAACTCAATAAGATTTACTATGAGAAAATAATTAGCTGACTTCATTACCTGGAATCAATAATCTTGAGAAGCAAATATGGAAATGAGCATTATCTCTGTCTGTAATTGTTCGTCCTTGTAACAGGCCTATTGGGGACCCGCTACGTTAAATAATGGGAACGCATCGACTGCGGCACCTCTTGGGTGACGTGGAAGCCCGCAGGTTGTCGTTGTTATGCCGAAACACCAATATTTCTATGCATTTTTTATAACTTTGAAATTTATTTGAATATACACATTTGTTTGCGCATTACGTCCATACAAATATTTACGGTTCGGTTATACGGAAGACTTGCTGTTCCGCCTGTTTGTCAAGAACGGTTTGTGAGGGGCGGCAACTTTTTCCCCACCACCGAGCAATCCATTCATTTTCGCTGACTGCAATATCGGCTGGAAAGATGATCATGATCCGCGCGGCTACGCGAAATCTGTAACATCGACAGAGGCGATGATCACGAAATCCTACTCCCGGACTCGCCGCTACGATTTAGCGCCATGCTTTTGGTATCGCCTAAAACCGGAGCGTTGTGCATCTCCCCACTCATCTCTGCCTAAAACCGTAGCGTTGTGCATCTCCCTACTGAACTCTGTAGACAACAAGCATATTCACGTGATGAAATTCAAACGAACGCACAATCGAATATAGTAACTATATAGTAACTTTCTTGTTTCACACTTTTGCAGCCTGTAAATATTACAAAATACTTGCTTGAACGCAAATCCTACCGGTTTCTTAATAATAATGAAATAATTTAAAATACGCTGTAACATACAAATCTACGTACATAAATAGATATTCGAAGGGTCCATTTTATTCTTTATAAACTGTTGTTAACCGTCATTCAAAATATAACTAGTATTTTAATCTCGAATGTCAAGCCATTTATTCAGACTTCAATCCCACCCGTTACATAAAATGTTACCAGTGAATATAAGATAGATAAAAGTGTGCGCAAAGTCCCAAATACCGATCATTCTCGTAGCAGTTACGTGTGCCATGGGATGGTAGATGATAGTGTTGCGCATTAGAAACAACGTCGTAAGTGTCTTATTGTAATCATATGAAAATAGAAGGAAGGATGCGAAATCTAATGGACTCTTCGGGATCCTGGATGCATCGTTATGCCGATGTGACAAACGCTAGGACTAAGTACGAATCCAGTGAAAATGACTTGTGATCAAAGTATCGGTTTTCCGCGTGACGGTTCTACAATTTATTTTCGTCGCCGTACCCATTTTCTTATATTACAAACGACTCGACTGCACTCGCGACAATTGGCGTTAACGTGGGATGGCAGCAGCCCTGAAGAAAAATCATTCTCGTAGAAGATTGGCCGCACTCACTTTCCTATCCAATATATCCTTGGACGGGAGTCATAGGGACACCAAATTAGCCCTGCTACCTCGTAACGGGGCTATACATCATAGAACCCTCAGTGAGAGTCATACCGTGCCTGCTGAACTACCTGATTTGGAAAGCTCTGCTGACGAGGCTGTAGATTGTTTGACAGAGGAGAATGAGTTATCGAAACTACCAGAGTCATCTCCACAGCCTGTTCGTAAGACTGTAGAACACCACTCTCTTAGCTCTGACTCCGATGGACTCTTTACGCCTGCTAAGGCTACCGTCGCTGCCTTCCTGGATCAGGAGCGCATCTGTCCTCCACTGGGAAGTGGAATTCATGGATCCTTCAGGGACCGGTAACTTTATCTTAGTTTCTATATTGTTCCCTCTTGAGTTAATTTAAAGACCGACTCATATTTATTTGTACTGTGAATCACATAGATTATTATTAGCAATATACTACAGGACTGAAAATTAAATTATGCATTGTTTAAATTTATTCAAATGTATTACAGTTAAAGTATATACAATATACAGATCAAAATTATAATATGAATTAACATCTCAATAGTATTTTATAGCTAGTCAACTTTTCTGTGAGAGATATTCTTGTCCATGTTTGGTCTCGGAGACTCCCAGTTATTTTTGTCTTTTAAATGTACATGGTTGATATAGAGCTGACTTTCAATCAACTCTATAAACATCTTATGTACTCTGTTAGATATCAGTTTTGTTATAACATTTTAAAAAATTCATTAAAAAAATATATATTTTCAGATACAAAATACATGATGTGTCATGTCTGTGTTTAGTTTTTCCGACCGATAAATAATATTAATGAACAATGTGATTATTAATATTAATTCCATACCCCTTTCATGTCCTTACATAATAAACACATGAGAAACATTAATAAATTTTGCTAAACTGCAGAACACCATGACTTCTTGAAGTTAGCTGTGAATTTTTTAGTTTTTTTTCACCTGTAGTCTTTCAAGAAGAAGTCGTATTCCACAGTTTTACTAATAATTTTACTGTTACCAGCATAAGAATTTAAAAAATTGCGGCAATAATAATATTTCTAATCGTCCTCAAGCACATGATACAAAGCATTATCAATCTCTGTTTTGTAACAGTTTTTTTTATATTTTTACTGTGCCACTTTAAACGACGTCTGCACCTTATCTTAAATTGATAAGACATTAACGTGATACAAAGCATCAAAAAGCGTCATTATTGATACAACACGTGCTTATATCGTGCTTACACTATATTCATTCTCTGACAAGACGGAGTCTCCAGAGAAGCCAACTAGTATTTTACAGTTATATATTTAATTATACTAATCGGATTATGACGGACTTATGGCGCCTGTTACGTAATTCATTTAGAGCATTAAACCCCACCTAATAAAGTGATCCATGTTTGCAATACACACTTATTTAAATGCTGATACTCTGTTATCACCGAGCAATGGTCTTAAAATTATCATTGAAATATCATTAAATTTTCTCAACAAAAGTAACTAGCGTCAACACCTATAATAAAAAAATACAGTATATTTATCACGCTTTCTGAGTGTAATAAAATGAGCTCATGGATGAATAATTTATTTATACGAGAACCTTACGACTTCTTATCGAGAATATTATTTTATTATTATCTGTATATGATTACAAATATTCATTTGATTATCGCAGTACTTACACTGTTCTTTGTACTGAATAGACACAACATTCAAGAACGAATACTAAAGTATCTTAGTATCTTGAATTTAAATCGATTAAATTTCATTAGGAGATAAAAGTGAGAAGGAATTTCAAGAGCAACGTATAGAAATAAAAGCAAGCTTAACTAATATATGATCAAACAATACTCTCTCAACACGTAACTTGAAGGGTATTTATGCTTCGTCAGAGAAAACGAAAGTATCCTTGACTGATTTTATTGAATCGACAATCGGTAATATTATAAACCCGAATCTTTAGTCTGTTTTATAAATGTATAAATAATATTTCTTCAATTACTGCACTTTACACGTATACTTCAGATATATTCTGAAAAGTGCCTGATACAATTACTACCAGATCACAGAAAAGGGCAGTCTAAGTATAGCGCACATAATAAAAATGTATGATTTTATACTTTCATAATTAAAACTAGATAGTCACTATAGATGGTCTAATAATATCCGTAAATAACTCATAAAATATACAAGATTATTAAGAAAAGAAGGTTTGTTTAAAATGAAAGTTTGTCAAGGTCATCCTGTTCATCATTTTTATCATGTGCATTTACGTTTACCTACAGTACAACAGTTTTAAGGTCATAATGTTATAAGGACGATACGTTGCGTATAAAACATTACTAAAATTTTTGAAGTGCACTGAACATCTTTACGTAAAAGATAATTTTCTATCCAGGACTGGAACTGCTGGCAGTGATTACTCCCTACCGGAAAGACGAGTCGGTTCGCTCCAGTACAAAAAGCGAATTATTCATCAAACATCAACCTTGTCGGAAGACATCAGGCATCAGCACAACAGTAGCAGCGAGAGTATTGGTTCTTTACGATCAAAATCGATGAGCCAGTCATCAAAACCGAAATCGAAGATTCTGAACAACGTGCAGAGCAGCGCTACGAGTAGCGGAATTATACCGGAAGTGAGCAAAGAATTGCGTCTGATGCATCGTCCTGGAAGCCGACATAAGTTCGGCGACGACAGATTAATCCTGGTCTCATCCAGGCGTGTTCCTTTCCTGGTATTTTCAGCACTGCCCTATAATAAAAGTCAGCGCGCAAGTTGGTAAGTTAACCGGAAACAAAAGGCTAACGGTATACACAGGGTGATTCAGGATCAGCGCTACAGCTGTTACTGGTAGATACCAAAGATGATACTCGACCTCACTAATTTCGCCGTGTTGCGAGATTTCCTTTAATTTCTTTTTTTTTTTTTATATATTAGAAATAACAAATTAGAGGCTAGGATTGTCGTTCCACGGAATATGCTGGTACGAATGATTATAAAACAATTTAATGTTGTCAACATTGGGCTCTGATATTCTCCCGTGCTTTTGTTTTTCGATGGCACTACATATTGCACGCAACAAAGTATCAGGAAGTCGGTTTGGACAGATAATGTTAAATCAGTAACACGTGCTCTGCGTTGTGATCTTCTGTGAAGGTCATAAGAACGCATTCCACGATTTCAGTTAAAAAAGAATATGTCAGAGAATTCTCGTGCTCTTGCTATCGGCCTCTATTAGTCGAAATGATTCCTCAAGCATACAATTATGTCTCTAAAGGAGAGTATTGTTAATGATGCGAAATGCTTATTCCAAAATTGATTAAATGTCAGAGGAATCCAAATAAGTGTCCCTCGAGGTGTATCTGTAAGGATGTGGTGAAGTCTGACAGAAGTGCGGACGGCTTTTTATAACAAATACGCGAGAAAATACTAAATTGAAAAGGAATCTCGTAGCTGTGCCTCATGGTGTAATCAAACGATCAATCTTCTGCTGCGACACTTCTGCCAGACTTCATTACATCCTCACTGCGACACCCGGGTGGACACTTGTTTAAATATAATCCCGTCGAGAAACAAAAGCAAGGGACAATATTACAGCTAAATGCTGCTAATCTTAAATTGTTTTATCGTCATCCCCACCACTATCTCCTCTGAAATCTTTATCTCGCTATCTCTGATATTAAATCATTTGAAAGTTAAAGCAAATCTCGCAAAACGGCGAAAATATGTCGTCCAGAATTGTCTCTAGCGTTTACTAGTAATGTTTATAATGCTTATTCTTAATCATCCTGTATAATAGATTACATACCGATAAGTTCAAAGAATTACTTCCCTTTTTGACTGAATTCAAATAAACCAGTGGATTTTATGAAGTGGAGTTTATTTGTTTGACTCCGTGCTGTTTCACGATAGTAAGTCTCTCTTTTTATCATTATCAGTTACAGATTATTTTTCTATTTAGTTGTTGTTATCATATAGCCTTCATACAACAGGCATTATTTACGCGTGCAATATCTACACAATATCGAATGCATTCTGGCGTTTTAAGTTTGTTCTATGACTAATTTATTTCTTTAAGCTGTGTTTTCAATTGTAATGTTTGTACATATTTCGATGTGATCTTTAATGGTAGTGACATGAGTATACACATAATCTTGTGAATTACCAACCTGTGATATGAATGTCTATATTTGTATTACTGTTATTTATTATTGCTATCGTACGATAACTGTGGACATGTTAGCCATATACTGATCATATGTGAGAAAAGGTAGATAATTCAGAGAAAATTAGATCGCCTTAGATTAATTTTGTCTTAATGAAGAAGTCATTGATCCATGTATAATCAGGTCCGAGTTACGTAAGGATCAAGGTCGAAGAAAAAATACAACAGGACCTAGGCCGTTATCAGCTATCAATGATAATTTGGATCCTTTCGGCCTCTTGGGAATAGAACGTGCTAAGGATGGTCAGGTAACGAATACAAATAACATGGAAGAAGAAAGCATCACAAATGATGATGCAAAATCATTAATAATCGTAGAATTTCTATGTTGATTATTATTGATAAATTATATAATGTCCGTTTTGTCTTCCATAGGAAATTTCGTATGGAAAGTTATTGGTCCCCTCGAGACAATTTCAAAAAGAGAGGAAATTGCACTCAAGCGAAAGCGAAAACATGGAATTGATGCATTCAATGCCTAAGCAACATCACGCGGTAGCAAGGTACCCAACAGACAATCAAAAAATAATCAAGAACTTACCAACATGCAGATCAACTCTTATTGCCCCTTTTTGTTTAATCAATCATCAATACTTCTTCTCGATTCATTCCGGAAGCTTCCCGTTATTCATGGTGGCTAACAGAAATTCGATTTTTTTGCTATCAATTATTCGTCTTCTAACTATAGGCGTTGACTTCGTGATAAATTCCATTGTCGTTTGTTTACAAGTTTTTAAAGATCGATGTTTTCGGATCTGTTGTTAATTTCCACTTATAACGATATCAAATTAGAATTACGCTTAACGATCTGTCCGTTAACGAGGCTCGTTGCCGATTTTTTTACAGGACAAAAACTATTACCTGGAATGTGGACAATACTAATAAATGGTAAAGAAACACTGTACTTTTTCATATAAGGAGTGTCGTAGGTTTTTGTAGCATCTTGCTGTAAGGTTTACATGGATATAACAATTTTACAAAACAAAAGAAAGCTAATCACTGACGAATTTCATCTGTCACGCCAAACTTCTTCGTTATTAATTTCGATCACTGCATGCTTGGTGTTAAATTTAATGACGTTTATTTCTGACATTAAAACCGGCGTTTTTATTATATATTTTGTACAATTCAAATTCATATTATAATAGTGAAGAAATAATTAATAGTATTACATTCAATACACAGTTATAAAGGATAATCATAACATTAAATTATCTTATACAACAGTATTAATAAGATATATGACATATAATATGATCAAAGACCGTAAAATATTTCAGCTAACGTTAATTGTGCATTATGCAGCTCAGCTGGTGGCATCTACGTATAAAAGCTTGGCTCAACGGGATTGCATGCCCATGAACTTATTAATTAATTTGTCAGCGAAAACAAAAATGCGAATACATTCACAGAAATAAGATATAACTTTTATTTCAGGTGTCTGTCATATGACATGGCCACGCATCGCGCACAACACGCATCTCCTAGCTCACCACCATTGTCATTCACTACCGAAACTAAAGGTAGTTCCAACAATACAAAATCATTAAGCATATGAACCAATATGAATAAAATGAACAATAATAGTTTCAGCACACGAATGGGACGACCAGCCCATACAATACAATCCCAACTTATTGGATGATCCTGAACTTATTGCCGGGAAACACAGAACATTACTTACATTTACATCGTATATGGTATTTACATAAGTAACATTTTGGAAATTGAATTTATTTTCTATTGACACACCATGTTTATATCTATATCGATTTATGTTTTATAATACGTAGGCATCTGTCATCGATTATGTGAGACCATCCGATCTGAAAAAGGAACTAAATGATAAATTCAAGGAGAAATTTCCGCATATTCAGCTGACACTCAGTAAATTACGAAGGCAAGCATAATCCACTTACCATTTGAAATAGATTAATTTCTTTATAAGGTTCTGTTATTAATCTTCTACGACGAAACAATTAAAGAGTATTAATTTTCGGATGTTTTCTTATGTAGCCTGAAGCGCGAAATGCGGAAAATCGCTAAAATAGAGTATGGAATTGACCTGTTGACCGTAGCTATGGCATACGTCTATTTTGAAAAATTGATTCTAAGGAATGTCGTCACGAAACAAACGCGGAAGTTGTGTGCCGGAGCTTGCCTACTGCTTGCTGCCAAGCTTAACGATGTCAAAGGAGACGTGCTAAAGTCCCTTATCGAGGTAAATAATCGCAATCTAGAAAACAGAGTTATCACTTATTTACGATATTCTCAGTTTTTATTTCACATTGCGATTTTTAAGTCTATAGATGTCTGCACATTTTAGAATTATTAAAGATTCAATTTCAGCCGTATCAGATTCGAATTCCTTGTTTCTAGCCACCTATAATAATGTTATCTACTTATCAATTTATTGCAGAGAACGGAAAGCATTTTTCGCTTGAATCGCAAAGAACTAATCACCTCGGAATTCGCAGTCTTGGTCGCCCTCGAGTTCGGCCTCCATTTGCCAACTTGGGAAGTCTTTCCGCATTATCAACGACTAATTTATGAGTCCTGACCTTCTCTCACGCCATTGCTTTCACGCAGACGTAGAACATTCTCCTCGTAGACACTTGGCAGATGTAGAAGAAACACACTCACATACGGCATGCATGGTATGAATAATCGTCATTTTGTAATTTAATTGCGAGAATGTATCTTGATCTCATTTGAAAAAACTGTGCTCTGGCATTTATAGGATAATTAATTGATTCATAAATTTCCTCAATTATTTCTCGAGTTTCTCCGAAATAGAAACATAATCTTCATGCCTAATGAAATACGGGCGTGAAAATATAAAAATTCATTGAAATCGCAAAGGAGGATTTGAACAATCAGAAAATCACAATCGTTTGAAGGTAGACATACAAAAATGAACAGTACGATTCTTTTTAGAATACAAAATTTATTAATTTAAACTGTATAAAAGTAAGTGACAGTTGAAATAACAAGTTTTAATCAATTCTGGGGTTACTTCAGTATATCTGAAATTCAATTCAACATAAAAAAGGTACAAGAACGCTTTCTTGTATTTTACTCTTTCTTTAATATTAGACTGATCATACGATTGTGATATATAATCCCAGGTGCCGTAAATAACTAATAAGAAAATCGCGTTAGAATAGCACGAAAGGAAAAGAACATTCAATACCTACATGACGATATGAAAACGTAACATTGATGTAAATGAGTTTGATACTGCACGCTGAGAGCAGTGACAGATGTCTGCAGTAACAATGTAAAGTCTGAGTGTCAGTAATGACGTGAAATTAATGAATTATCCAATTGATCGTTCGTGATAGATAAATTGAATACTCCGGAAGTCAAATTGATAAGAGGATGTCGAATTAAAAAATTTAACATATGAAAAAATATAAATCGTGATAAATAGTTAATTAAAGTAAATGCAATGAGCAATCACTTATGCATTCAGTATAAAATAAATATCGGATCTTATTGAGGTTAAAAAAAGATTGTCGATGTCTTTAAACTATCATCGTCTTCAGGATATCACGTTCGTTATTATTACCCGTTCCCCTTTAATTTTTAGTAGAATTTATCTCCCACTTGACAGTATTATTACATCTCATATTTACAGCTTACTAACCTTTTAATCTAGTATAGATCAATTACCTTGTATGCTCATGCTAATAGCATGATTCACATGTACACGTGCAAAGAGTAACTTCTTACACGGCACAAAATGTCCGTAGGACATCCATAGGACGTCTATTTAACGTCCATCGGTCCTTCGCAATTGACAGATGGACTTCGTGACTGACAGCTACTGGGCACAGTGGACCCGGAAGACACGCTGAAATTAGCATATAAATTCTGGAGCGTGTTGTTATGCTTACATTTAGTTTGAGACACAGATTATAGGGAGCTCATTCTCTTTTTCAATATGTCCTCAGTCCTACCGGAAGTCCTTATGATATTTGTGCTGTGTCAGTTGTTTATAATTTTAATTCTTCGTATAGATGCATTCAAGCCGAAAAAGTTGAAACTACCAATGGTACTTTACGATAATTTTAATTTCATGGGAAAACATTAGAAGTTGAGTGGATGCACTTTTATTTTTATTTAATACTCTTGCGGCACAATCTGTATATAGTTGGTGTTATTTTATCTTATGTTATCATGTGTCTTATAATTGTGCTCAATTTTTATTATCCTAAATATTTCATTATGGTATCCACTACTTTTATAGAAAATGCTCAACGCATTGCGTTATGTTTCTGTGAAATGGTGCCTGGTGGAAAGTAGTAACTTCATTTATTTTTTAGTTACCTGGATAAAAAAAAAGAGATGTATTATCTTACAAAAAAACTCCACGATGTGGCAACTGTAATGCTTGAAAAAAAATTGTTACTATCTGTGAATACTATTACAGAATGTACCCCATGACATGTTTTGACAGAACTATATAGCTATATATAAGTCAAAAAAATAACGTCAATCCAATCGTGACATAATGGGAAATATCGTACACGACAGTAAGGGTGCGCGAAACGAGTTTTTTAGTCAAGAAATAACAAGATATACCTTAAATCGGTGCGAATTCAGCAGTAAGACTGGAATTATTGGCAATTGAATGGACGTTTTTGTACGAAAGATTAACGTTTATTATTATCTTTTGCTATGCAACAGTACATTTTACACGTTGTATATAAAGTAGAGCAAAATCACACAGGCGTTAGCTCATCTAAAAATCTCAAATATTTATTCCGATATCCTACGCCAATTAAAAATTTTTCCTCTACTAATGGTGTTGAAAAAGGCGAAGAAAAAATATTTATTAAAATCGAAAAACACAGTTCTATTCCAACATTCTTCTTGGATGATTTAAAAAAATATATTAAAAATCCTTCTCCGTTAATCCAGCATTGTAAGATCCTACGCGTGAATGATACATTTAACAATTATTCTAAGCTTTAAATATACATACGTGTAGAGGTCTTGCATACAAAACTGCCGTAAGCATAACGTAAGGGATAGACTTATTATTAATCAGAGTACGTTAGAACCATAACTTCGTAAAATATAATAGATACATGTTCATTGGCCTCAGACTTACATTATGTATGCGAAAATTCTGTGTGAGATACTCATTAAGCCCTTGCGTTAGGCCGACGTATGTAATCCGGTGTAATTAATTAATTACTTTAAGTACTTTTATGAAATGGATTTAATGGATATCGGTATAATTTACTTATATTGGCATGGAATGTTGGATTATGATTAAAAGATATTGATTTTGAATTGGTTCCGCTTTGTCTATTCGCAATATGATGCTAGAATAAAAGTGGGATCAATTCCTATGACATAGGTGGTTCAGAAAACACATTGTAACATTTTATCGATATGTGATCATATATAAAATGTCATACAGCTTGTTCCAAAGCTGTGCAATGAATACTATCTTATTTCGTTCCTTTGTTTCTCTATTTTTGCGGCTGTCTTGAAAAAGTTAAATTTTATTTTGTATCTCTGTTTTTAATTATCTGCTAGAGTGACTTTAAAAAAAATAAAACAAAAGGTCTTGAAGTGTAGCGATAACGAGCTTAGGGACAAGTCTGTACAAATTTGAGAAGAGATTTTTCCTCGATTATATTTTGTAAATATCTGTGTGTTAGAATAAGTTTATATGTCTCTCACGAGAGTCGATGATGTGAGTGCGTACTCCATTCATTATCTTTTCTCTGCTCTTTATTCAGTACCTCTAATTTATGTGTCTTTCTGTTTTGTATAGGTATTCTTTTCTTCTGTAATCAAAGATGTAATTGCTCGTTAGGATAAAACACTAAAAATTATAGCGGCACAAAATATCTCTTATGTGCAGGAATTTATCGAAAAATTAAGTTTTCGTTATACTGTTATAAAGTTGCTAGGCTTAATAGTGATACAGTTGTTTTCATGGGAAAGTACCAATTGCACGTGAATGAAAATGAATACTTTTTTATAACTGTCCCAAAGATCATGGCGTGACATTAAAATTGATAGTCCATAACTTTTTTAATAGTTTTTCTATCACGCTTGTAACGGCGTGCGTTCATAAAAAGAAGTCACGCAAAATACTCACTAATGTTTATCATGGTCTTTTATCAACTGAAAAAAAGTCATTTTGGCTAATGGAAGAATGGGTAAATAATCGTTAGAGAAACAGCAAGTCTACTCAGTCTTAAATAATATTTAATCACAGTGTACGCATTCTAGTCCTTGCTACTGTTTTTAAAGATACTGAAGCAACAGGAGGGAGGCATAAGTGTGAACTGTCCATTGATCGAACGAACAATGTAATTCTGGATTGACTTTATAGTATCTATATATTCTATAGAATTGACATACTTGCGAATATATATTATATTCTAGTACTTAAATCTTGTAGATTGAATATATATATATATACGTATATATTATTGTACTTACAAATAAATTACTTAAACCATTATAGAAATCTGTTCCAACATTCTGGAAACAATCAAAAATAAGAACAAAAGAATTTTACTAATCTTGCTTAACCCTTAACTACACACGTGTGATCTCAAAGACCTCATCAATTTTTTGTTTAGCCCTTCTGCCGAATTGGTCTGTGTGTAAATTTTTAACGAATTAAAAAAAAATCCTACTAGATAATTATTACTTGATAATTGGTCATTAAATTTGTTTTAACTAAGAGGAAAATGACGCAAAGCTCTACTTTTGAGCTATTCTATTCGTTGTAATGGCCTCACAAGCCAGATCCACAGATTCAGGTCTCACAGATCTAGTCTTGTAAAGTATGTTTCTAAGGCCAGACCTGTGTAATTAAGGGTTAAAATTATACCAGCGATTTTGCGTTCCCATATATTACATTGATATTGTGACAAACAATGCGTATTTTGATAATTAAGGATTACGACTTTTTTTTAGTCTTTACACGTTTTGATGAGTAAATTTGTACAAAGGAGTGTACTGCTTCTTCCGGTTCCTGTAAACGCATTTCGGCTGCAATTGCAGCCGCGGCTGCTCTTTCTGCTGCTTTTTTCTTTTCGCGCAAAACTGCCATGGCGGCTTGAATAATTATTTCATAAAATTCTAGAAAGGTGATCTGAGATTGCAAAAATTAGTATAGATTGTTTATATACATCGGTTTCTATACTGAGCCAAACGTACCTTGTATTCCATATTTATGATCATCCCTGTATCCTTGTCCTTTATTGCAGGACAAACGTCAGCCAAAATTTGTGTCATTTTCTTCGCGCCCAATTTACGAAATGCGTACAATGTATTAGCTGAAATGATAACTTTTAGAATAGAAACTTAAACAGCGTTCAATTTGAAACTCACATAATTTATCCGTGGCTTCCTTCGGTTGATTTGTTATCATTGTAGGTTTGTTAAAAGGTTGTTTCTTGGGAATGTAACTTATTCTTTCGCCAATCGTTATTGCATTGAAGCCATCCAAAAACTGTTCTGGAGTTAAGTCATCTGACAAAGACGACCACAATGGATATGGCTTTGGATCTGGCAAACCTATTTTCCATTTATACATAACAAATTTGTATTTTCATTGTTATAAATGTATTTTATACCTTTCATTATGCAGGTGACACAAAGTAAATCCTGTGCTGTATGGGGTTCACCAACGTCTTGATAAAGCTGATATACAGAGAATAGCGGTAATAGATCTTTGTTAATGTTGCTTAATGTTCCTGCTGATAAATAATTATTATTTTCGTACAATATTATTTTTGAAGAATATAAAATTACTACCGAAAAGTCTATCTCGATTAGTAATAATTAGTAATTATTTTAATTGAACCTGTACGTTTTTCCATATTTGGTAGAATATCATTTTTCAAAAATTTCTTAAAGCCACTAGCGACTCTTCCTTGCGTATTTCTCGATTCGATGTTTCCTGGTTTTGTATACAAATGCCAAGACACTTCCAATAACGCATGAAGAAACTGCCAGAATTCAATTCTCTCAAATGGATAATATGTCTCATGGATCAATATGGACTTATTAAGGGCTGATAGGAAAGTTATTTAAAAAAAGAAAGTAATGAAACGTAATGCCGATATCTTCTCTGTGCAAAAATACATTATGATATTCACATTGAATATTCCAATGACTCTGATACGTACCAAGATGTTCATCGATTTCAACGAGACTCATGCCCTTATTGTGAATACCGCAATCACGCCAAAATTGCCAAAGACACAATCGTGTCATAGATAATGAAGATTTTGATGTATTATCACAAAATATTTCAGAATATCTTTTGTAAATTACACGGAGTTGTGTAACATACTGTGTGAAGCAATTGTAAACCCAAATTCCTTCAAAATAATAATCAGACAAATCCAAAATATCCGATTTTGTTTCAATTTTCGGTATACTGTCGTTTACCACGGCGTTGTCAATACTTTCGTTTCCAGCAGTCTTATGGGTAGAAGAATTAATAACTAGTATCGGGGAAGCAGCATGTGTGGCTACATGAACAAAATAAATGTACAAGATGTTACAAGACATCCCAGCCAACCCGTACCGTCCAAAAAGTCGTCTCAAAGACGTCTAATGCGACATAGATTATCTTTTGGGCATCTTAATGATGACTAGGATTTGTGACCTGTCTGGGATGCTTAATAGTAATAGTACTTAATAGTAAAAATACAAATTACATGATACTTTGGTACTGCTACTAGTTCTCAAACACGTGCAGGAGGTGTTATTACAATCGTAACACTTTCCAGATATTATAGATGTATCAGAACGCGATTCCATTCCAGTTGGATCCAACAGCTGATAGAGATGAAACCAAATGGACGGCCACTGTTCTGGTTTCATAGCCGTTGTTGTTCTTGGAGTTCGGTATATTTTCGGTAGCGGCTCGAATCTTAAAATTCATATTACAAATATATATTTTATTAACTAGCCTTTGTAGAAATTAAAAAAAAAATAATACTCGGTAACGTTTAGTTCCTTGTCTTCGAAATTTTGAGCGGTTTCAACATTTTCTTCGTTGAGTAAGTATGTTTGACTTTCCGGGATAGAGCCAACCAGTATATTATTTTCAAAAAGTGGATTGCCTTCAGTTAACTCACCGTTATTGCCTAGCGTGACATTTAACGTGACGGTTACAATAATAGCATAATTAATACGTTTAACATAACCAAAACAGTTACCAATTATTATGCCGTCACCGTCTTTCAAATCATTCTTCCATTCTCCAGAAAATCTTGCTCCGCCAACTGAATTTAATTGCAGCAGTCCTGCACGTAATCATATCCAGACAATGGAAAATATTAGTTTAATCAATCATACTACAATATAAATTAATAAATGAAATTTCTACTAGGTATAACCTTTCCCATCACGTTTGCCATCTATCCAATGACCTATGTAACTGGCTTCCTGTGGCCAAGATAGAGTTTTATTAAAGAATCCATTCCACGTATATTGTCCATGGCTAGAATCATCCATATAAATTCACTAACCCGATTTACGAACCAAAATACAATATAGTAATATTTAATTAGCAAAGACACCCGTGCATAGCTCCAGCCTTCCATTCCCCACGATAGATGTCACCATTAGGCCAAGTCATTGTACCAAGACCATCGCGACAATCGTTTTTCCATAAACCAATGTATTTAGCACCACTTGGATAAATACGTAATCCTACGCCATGCTTTCTTCCCATGTTCCATTCGCCTTCGTAAGAATTATCTTCGCCGTAACGACAGTACCTGAATATAAATAAATTTTACCTACCTAAATTTTATTTAAATTTTTTTAAATAAAAATATTTTTCTTACCCATTTTCATGCTTCTGTCCCATGTACCATTGGCCTATGTACAATATATGATAATCTCGATATACCATTGTACCTCTGCCATGCCGATAACCGTTGTAAAATTCACCTTCGTACCAGGCGTCATTTTTCCATTCTAAGTAACCTTTGCCTCGAATGTTGTTTTCCTCAAAGGTTCCCTACGTAATTTATGATTGTAATACGTGGTATAATGACAATTATTTATATGACAGTTTTCAACACTTTATAGCCCGTTCCATGCTGCCATTGGTAAACACCGTTTCCTTCCATCATTTTTCGACTTAGTCGACCTCTATAACGATTTTTATTTCGAAAGCAAATATCGACGGATTCGTCTGGTAATATTAACGCCCAAGGAGGCTTTTCTGCCGTTTCGTATAATTGATTGGAACTGTTATTGGACAGTCTTTGCCTGGAGTTGCCAAATTTTTGCGTTGATACGAATGGGTTTCTTGGAATCACAGTCTTTCGTGCTGTAGACGACCAACTTAAAGAAAGAAATGCCGATTAAGAAAAAAAATACAACTTTTAACATTAGATTTAACATGAATTACTCTTTCGTAAAATATTTGCAGATTTGATCGAAAATTGTATAAGTAAATTCATCCTGTGTTTTATACGCTCGGCGTGTTTCAGCCAGAATTTCTGTGTACACCGATTCGTTATCCATAAAATCATCGTCAAAATGTTCATTATCTTCCTTATCAGATTCTTCGTCGATTGACAACAAACTGTCCTTAAACTTTTTCATAGTTTTTTCATTTCCTTCGAAGTCGGTCAAAGTAATGAGGCTGATTTTTTTCGCGAGGAATACCAATTTACCTTGACGCTGATAACAGATGAAGGTTTGATATACGTACCAAATTCAGACCGTATAACTATACTATTTCTTTTTGACAATGAAGAGAATTTACGTTTAATATTGATAAATATTTTTAAGAAATTTAACATGACTACGACAATTAGAAAAGAACCGATAAATGTTAGTAAAAATGATGATTTGAATATTTTTCTTTTTATGTAGAATAAACTCATCAGAATATTTACAGTCCGTTTTTCCACTACTTGGAAATGAAGTTAAACATTTCGAAGTATTAAATATTGAAGTCCCTACAACGTATAATAAAAAAGTAATGATTCACGATTGGTAATTATTATCAATACATGTTAATAAAAGATTTTACATTCTTCAAAGGTTCAATGAATAAGACAAAACTGTTAATACTAAGTTGTAATTTTTATTAACCTCAAATATTTAGGCAACTATACTTATTGGCAGAGCCACGTGATACTACTAATTTTTTTCCACCAAAAGGCCACTTGCACATGGCCTCGTATAAGAATCTGGGTGATAAATATACAAAAACGGGAATTTCCGAAACTCATGCGATGCTAGAGCAAATAAAAACAAAGTGTCAACAAGCCGATTGCCAATTAACGAGGTAAAATTTTTATTGTAAACTGAAAATAACTATTTAATGTATACGCACCCAATGATTGGGCAAATATTATTACTTTTGCAGATCGGCAAATCGTAACCAGAACTCAAAAATTAATGGTATGGAAAAATATACTGGCGATTACGGATACAAGAATTATCGAACGACAACAGAAATCGATTATCCCTCGCACTTTTCGATGACGCCTAAAAAAGTATCCACGTACAAAGTGCCTTTTCTTATGAATCGTCGCACAATCGGTCACGATTCTCTAAGCTTCGAAAATTCACCTGGCATTCGGACATTCGTAGACGACGATATGGAACTTCACGATAAAATCGCTGACTTGAAAATGCATCGTCACGTGTCATACGATCCGATCGTCAAAAGTTATACAGATGTTTGCAAGTACAAAAGAATTCGCATGAATGCGTAATGCATTTTCGTATAAAATGACTTTATTCGCTTATTTTCAAGGATTCGAGAGATTTTTAATTATTTTGGCGAAATAAGTAACAAGACGATACTCTGCAGTATTCGACTATTCTTCGACATTGTAAAATATATTTATTTCTCACGCAATACAGTTAGTGAGTATCGTTTCAAACAAGGGACATTTATCAAGGTATTTAAATGTATCTGCCGTGCTGTTGCGATCGAGAATACGGGTTCCGTATATCGATGGTTCATTCGTGGCCTCTACCAAATCGCAAGTGACCGTAATCATCGAATTGATCACGTTTTCCAAATCTCATATGTCCATAATCATCAAATTGTCGCTTGTTAATTTCCATCATATCGTCATCCTCGCTGAATTGTTCGTCGATGTCGTAGCTAAATGCCCAAGAAGACAAAAGAACCAGCATTAGTAATATCATCCAAATGAAACATTAAAAGAGAATAAATTAAAGTGAAAGGATAAAAATAAAAAAACTCTTACCCACGAAACAACGGATGACTACGAAATCTACGATGTACGTTAGACGATGTTTCCGGAATACTTTCGCAATGTCCAAAAACGAGCCAAAGCGTCGCCATGATGGGGAGAAATCCCAAGGTTATGTTCATTGTTTCGACTATCGAAATCCGCTTACTTTCGTTTGGCAAAGTTCTTCCAAAAAATCTTCAAATCTAAAATCTCGCAATTCGTACAACACCGAAGCTTTAATTGTCTTCTGCTTCGCTGCCGAAAGCGCCAGTGTCCCTGGTGCGAGTGGTGTGCACTAGTGCCGCTCGCGACGCTTTATATAGAAGAAAACCTGAAGAAAAGCGCCACTTGAATTTTAATTTGTTACTTTTACGTTACGATAAACAACTTCTACCCAGTCTCTACTAAAGCCACTCTGGTATTCTGGATGTGAACCCACAATGAGGTGATTGGCAGGTTCGTGGTAAATACGTTAACTGTACATTTTCGTAGCCGCCGATCAAATTTTCTTTTGACACTAGCGGTTTAACGGCTGATCTCCTAAAGAAAATAGGAAATATTGAAAGAGACAGTCGAAGGATCTGCAATGATTATTGCCAATGTAGTATAATTATATTGAAACATTACCAAATAATATTACCTGGGATGCGAGATAGAAAATATAGGACTTCAAAGAAATTCAAGGAAATTCATAATAATACAAAAACTTACGTGATATACGAATCATTTTTCTTATCTATATATGTATATGAACGAAATAGATTAATTGAAAAGTTTGTAACGCCAGGTTATGAATCTACTGATTCGAGTTTTATGAAAGTTTCATTTAAAAGAGTCAACGAAATCTCCAATAGGTTTTACGCCTCATTTTATTTTTCTAACATAAGTCGTTTGGAAACTATGTATAGCGTAACTAAACTATGTATATATTTTTCCATAAACTTCCATTTTCTTCGGATATACTTTATGCAGCTCTAAGTTTTAGTAAGTATCATATCGTGCTATCTTCTAAGCATGAAGAAGTATAACTATATGTGCAATCTAACAATAAGATGTAACCAGGCAACGCTGGATACAAAATGCTAGTTGGTTAATTGTCAATGTATGAAATTGCAAAGGAGTATAAGGTATCTTCATAATCAATTAGCATCAAGTCATGGACTCTAATGAAAGTATTAACATTCACTAAGATGTTCATTATTGAATCTATGAAGTCCTTCACTGTCAGTGCCTTCTACAGAGGCAAAAATGTAGTGTCACTTTTGCTGCACGAAACTTATAGGGGCTTATATATTTATACTATTACGAACTGGTTGTCCTCGGACATCTTGAGGCTTTTGAGGTTGCTGAATCCGAGTCTGAAGTCAACTTTGTAAAATATAAAATGGCAGATCCAATATGGGGAATCAAATTTCGAAGAAATTTTGGATTTCAATCAAAATGTACAGTTTAGTCTATATTCATTCGCACAACTGTCATTTCGCTTCTGTGGAATTTCCCTAGACCACTTTGAACTTAAAACGACTGATACTAAATTTGGATTCGGCGACTTCAAACATTTTTGAATTTTCATCAAAAAACTTTTTTCAACACATATTTGATACGAAATGTTTTTTCCACCTGACAGTGAAGGGGTCAGAGATGTAACTGTGAAACTACATTCATAATGTTTCTGAAAGTATGTTCTATAATTTCATAACGAGAAATTTCTGCAAATATGATATAATTTTGTAATTATTATTTTGTCTGGTTGCCTCGCTCTGTAACTTCATTGTAGCATAATTAAGTATATAATATACTTACACACATTTTATTTATATGTCAAGACGAGGTGAACATCAAGGTAAAAAATGAACAATTTAAAATCCCTTTTTTGGCATACGCCTCTGCGAAATATATATGCGATAAATTAGAATTAAAGTGCATTTATAAATAACTATAACCATTTTCACACAGTTTGAACAAGTTGTATATTCTATTGTATGTGATGAAAAATGTATTGTATTTACGTTGATTCATCGAGTTTCTCTATTTTATTTACATAAAATATTTATCATTAATTATATAAGTTATTTTGCGCTACAAGATAATATTTTTTTAAAATTTTATACAATAGAAATCATTAAAATACCATTTTATCCTTCTTTGACGTAACAATTGTAATTCGTAATTCCGCGTGACATTATCCTCACCGAAGAAGTATCCGCTGCGAGAGGTCATGGTCAAACATTATTACCTTAGCACTGATGATCATAAATGGCTTCAACTCATGCAGTGCTTCATGTCCAGCTTATAAAGGCAAGTATCGAGGTCATTTGAATGCACTTTGGTTTAATCGGCGTTCGTGCAAAGTAGTTAATTTGCAAATTTGTATTATCTAGAAAGGAGAAAAGAAACAAATAAATTGGGGAAGAAAAAAAAAACCAAAAAAGGATAATTTAAGATGGCAATATCAGCAGCCGAAGAAGTTACGAGTATATCTCTCCAAAAAGGACTCTCAGAATGGTGGAGTGAGGAGACCGAATACGTGTTTCAAAGGATAGAACGATGGGCAGCATTGGCGAGGGGTTATAATCGTCTAAGATCTCAAAGGTTATCGAGAGGTCGTATGACGATGCACGAAGAACATGAACCGCGTTGGAGCATCTCTTCGAACAGAATAATCGTCGAGGATCCATCTTGGAGTCCACGTTTCCGCAGCGTCAAGAAAGCGACAGTTCACCGTCGAAATTCGCAACAAGAAAGAAGTAGGATCAATTGTTGCGGAACATTCAATTATCAGTCAAACAGTCATCTCGATAATCATTGTCTGGAAACATACAGATATGATCACAGCATCTACTTCAAAACGATTGGTGAAATAAGGAATAGTCGCAAGACCAACCCCAAGAACGTCGATGATGATTCCAGCTGTAGCGATGAGAGGATCGAGTGGGAAGCCAGGTTTGGGCATTTGAATGACAATGATGACGATATTGATAATCGTATTAATAACTACGAGGATGAAAACGATAATATTCAAAATGTGGAGACTCGAGTTTACACGGTAAAAGAGGATCAAACTAATATTTGGCCAATAGTTGACATCAATAAACTCACTATCAGCTGTGAAGACCACGAAAATTCTTGCTATAATGCGAGTGATCGAATGGTCGATATTAATCTGAACAAAGAGTCTGATGATTCTGAAAACGAAAATGGACATTTTGAAGATCCTGATAAAACGGATAAGATAAACAGCTGCTTCCTTGAAGTCATGAATAATGGTCATGATACGAGCACATTAAAGGCCGAGGACGGTTCTAAAAAATTTCTTGGCATTCGAAGAACCAGGAAGTCTTCAAGAAGGATTAAAACGAATATTGTTCATGGTGAAAATAATGTCACGTGGCCTGGTGTACTTTTGAATTATACGAAAAACATTGATCCACAATCATCCCCACATAATCATGCAATCGCTAGTAATTAATTTGGGTCTTATGAAGTTCTAATGATACGTTCTTTCGAAATATTTCTCTAAATACGAGCGCGTGACTTTTGTTTATTAAAATGTACAAGCTTACAGAATACGCGTTCAATTTTATCGATCAGCAAAATAATATTTGTGCAAGAGGGAATAATGTCGATAGCATTATTTATTTCATCAATAGCATACTGACAAATTAAATTTTATTTTATATGACATTACGCTTTTCCTGTTTTTTTTTTGTTACAGCACAGTAATTGAAATTATATTGCATTATACAGTTTCATATACTTAAACATAAATACTAAAATAAAGCATAGGCTAATGGATTGTACCAAAGAATTCAACTTGTATTTTTCATTGCTGCTGTATCAATTCATCGCTATAGAAATTTAATGAAAGGATAATAAATGTATTAATTATAAACAATAAGAATACAGAAAGTACAAAAATTGTCATCTTCTTTCTATACCAAAAACAAGACTAGAATTAACAAGAAATATTTTATTTGAAACTCGAAAAAATTGATGGGCCACGTTCAAGACTAATTGAATAAGAAAAAAGTATGTGCCACAGAGGAATTGAAGAAATACGAAAGTGAAGGTAGCGCATGCGCGAACCAGCTCCCAGCCACGCATGCAACAGTATCACCAAGCCCGGCGCGAATCGATCGGCCAGAGCAGACGAGCTGTTGAAGATTGTCATTTCAAAAAGATCAGGCTCACGTAATTGACTAAATCCGTGATAAGGAGGGAATCATAAAAATGGGAAAACGACTTCAGACTGTGGCGGCTATGGCCTGCATGAAGACACTGTTGATGCTCTTCAATTTTACATTTTGGGTGAGTTTAACATCATATTCCATATCCTAGCCTGAATACGTCGTCATATACTATTCCATAGGAGAGTCCTCCGATAGGATTCAACCATACACCCAACTGTTGCGCAATTTCGGGAAACACTACGATTTTCCACATTTTTTCCTATAATATATAAATTATAACGAGAAAGCATTTTTTTAATATACAAAGCATTCAATTAATTATACAAAATAGATTAAACGATATTTCTAATATTTTTATGAATAAAAAAATTATTACATTTTGTGTACCTACTCATTAATACTCTATCGTGATATTTCAAATTTTTTTTCCTTCTGGACTTATTTTATATTGTAACGTTATCATTAATGTTAATGGTCTGTTATCTATATCCTGAAATTCGTTTTATCAAAACTGGTTTCTTTTGTAACGTCCGGGAAGCTGCATGTTCCGGAATATTGTTACTTTATGATGTTTATTCGATAATAGTTCACATTTTTTCTAATTGCTCTCAGTTTTCGAATTTTTCATTTTTATGTGACTTCACCCAGTGTTCCGGAGTTCTAATGCTATGCGTGGGAATCTGGATCAGATATCAGCTGCGGGATTACGTTGATTTAAGTGTTGAGGGTGGTGGCGCAGCATTGGTAGCACTGGCAATTCTTGGAGCCATTGTTGGATCTGCAGCGACCTTAGCTTGTTGCTGTACAGCACGAGGTCATCCAGCTCTCCTCTACTTGGTAAGCATCTAAATATGGTAGAAACTTTGTTTTAAAATTTTAAAAATGATCATGCTAATATATATTATCAACATCAAATAGATATTTATTATATTATGTACGCATATCCAATGCCTTTTGGACTATTTATCTTGGTTTCAGTATGGGGCTTTTTTAGCTGTGGTCGCATTACTTGAACTAGGTGCTGGAGCTTCGATTTATGCCTACCGTGATACTCTTACCGAAGGTTTAAATGCAGGACTTACGAAGAGTCTGGAAGTATACGGGGAAAATCAAACTAAGAGTGCTCATTTGGATATTATGCAAAAAACTGTAAGTTTAGTGACAAAATTTCTGATTTATAAGAATAATACTTGTTTTTATCCATTTAACAAAAATATTTCCATCGCTTCTCTTACAGTTGCATTGCTGTGGCAATAAAGCTTATACTGACTGGGTAAACTTGAAACCACCAAAATCAATTCCGCCCTCCTGCTGCAGCATACCCGAAGAAGAATGCGACACTTCGAAACTTGAGGATATTTACACGCAGGTTATGATCTTTCAAAATTTAAATAAAATTCAAATATTTTAATTTAAATAATCATAATCGAATTACTAGTTTGATTACGGAAATAATTAAAATATATTTTTAATTATTGTTACAGGGTTGCTACAATCGTGTTATCGATCTGATCAATAGTAATATTGGTCTCGTAGCCGGAAGTGCAATTGGAGTTGCTGTTTTTCCACTAATTGGCGTTTTTCTTGCTTGCTGCTTAGCCACTAACATTAATAAAGCTAAGTATGAGCAGGTGGCTTAAGAGCTTTTACTAAGTACGAATCAAATGAACCGACGAGATGGATATTATACTACGAAGAAGTCTGGATTTTTTCTTACTGATGCTAATGAAAGATCTAGATGCGGAAGATGATTTTGTCGTCAACGATAACGATAACCGTTATTTTTTAACACTGTTTTAGTTAGTCATAATTATCTTTTTTCTTTCGTTCTCTTAATTTTATATTCACGATGGAATTTGGAATATTATACTCTGTTCATTATTTTATACTGAAGCATTAAATTAATTTATTATAAATCTTTTTGTCTCTACTGTGCAAATCGTGATTAGAATGTTGTCTTATTTATTATCCACGTATCTCGTATTTTCTTAATTAACTTAACAATTAGTATGGATATTTATTATAGTTTTAGTATTATTATGCGAAGTTACTTATGGTACGTCCGATTTAACGACAAGTCAATTGCCACTGATTGCAACAATAAAGTATAAAACGATCTTATGGTAAAAGAAAAGCTTCAATTTTTTATTTCTACTGTTAATTATCCAATAGTTGTCACAAATAATTTTTTGTTATAGTCATTATTTTAACGATTATTGTCAAAGTGAGATACCCAAAGCGAGAATTTACTATCGATAGTCTAAAGTAATTAAAATTGTCATTTCTAGGTGTTAGATAACAAAACATAATAATTTATCGGTATAAATCAATATACCAATCTAATGTATATTTCACAAATATATTTGTTATATCAAGAGTACATAGCCACCGAAACAATGAACTATATACAAAAACATGATTCTAATGTTAAAGACACGCGTGCGAAATGCGAAATGAATTGTCCGTTCGCATTCAATATGAATATGACGTGAATGAAAGTTACATTTCTTTTAATCTCAACAGATCAATATATTATCTCAGAAATTACATTCAGTAACGTATAAGAAAAAATAATTATTTTGTTGTAATATATTTTGCAAATATTGTTCTTAGTAGTTTCATCGTTATAATTTTTAATGGAAAGCGTGACAGTTCCTAAACAAAAAAATAATATATTTTCGAGGTCGAGGAAATGTGAGAAGAGAATGTGCATCGATACAAAGATAAATGAATTTTGCACGAAACTTTGAAGAGGGAAAGGAAAAGAAAATATTAAACTTTATCAAGTGCTACTTGAAGATAGTAATTGTGATCTCATAACATTTTTCGAAAATTTTTTCATCGGTGATACTTTGGCTACTTCACCCTTTATCTGTATACGAAAATTTTCGATATATTGTCATTGAACTTTCAAATGTTTGTCGGTCGTTGTTACAAACAATTTATTATACACGAAATCATTGATCATAAGTATCGTATGTCATTCTATAAACCATTAAATTTATTATGTGTTATGATATGTGTACCTTTACAAGTCGCTGTTATTATATTACGTACGTATAACGAGGTGACTTCGTAATATTGATATTTCAAGATCCATATTACTTTATATATAATATTGACTATATAAAAATATATATATATACACATTATATTATACAATATTAAATTATATTGCATTATTGTACCAGAATGTATATTAAATATATATTAAAAATTAATCATTTCAATCGAACAACAATGAATTTAAACCCTTGTTGTATATTGTATTTGATTATTATAACGAAGCACATATTTTGTAATATATTCATTAAAATCAGGTAATGCAATCAGATATAATACAAATAACATTTTGTACAAAGAGTACAACTCGGTTGTTAAAATCGACATTGACGTTACAAATTGCGCCTATCACATCCCATGCCAAAATGCATGATTGGCCGGGAGGAAATTTTCGCTGGCAGATACATTTCGTAATTTAAAAAAATCTTCGTATTGATAAGGCATTATTGTTGGAAATGATACGGTGTATTCGTTAATAATATTGTTTTGATTACAGTGTCGCCCTTTTTTTGAATTTTTATCAATAATGACGTGCAAATAATTTCCGAAGTTTAACGCAAAGAACAATAGTAGCCATGTTACTTTCGACAGCCTGAGAAAATCTCATTTTTCATGTCTCACTATGAGGAAATTTTTCTAGTTGGTTTTGTTCGCAAAAACTATTTATTATTAGGCAATTATTTATGTAATGAAAAATAATTTTGGGATAGTTTCTTCCCATAAAAATTATTCGACAAATTTGAGAAAATCACATTTTTGATCTCTCATCGTGAGAAAATTTTTCCAGTTAGTTTCATTGTGAAAGGTAATATATTATAAATATATTATTTAGTACCTAATATACTATGTGCTATATTATACCGAAGACATTATATGAAATTTTGAAAATACAATTAAAATGGTGGGCTAGTGCTGGATCATATAATAAGCAGATATGTACTTATGTACTTGGTATATGATTCAATATGATTTCAATATTTTTTCTGAGAGAAATGCACAGCACTCCTGTACTTGGCATAGTCTTTTTACACGTACTAGAACGACGCGATTGGAGGTCCGTTTGCGCTGTAGCGTTTTGAATAATTTAAATACTATTCAGCCGAATAGAAAAGCAGTAAAAAATGTCCCACAAAATTGCACTTATTGATGTCGGGTAAAAATATTTCAACAATAGGCTTTTTCAACAGTTGTTGAGAAGTTCTATAGTTCCCGGGCTCGTTTTAAGGGTTGCTTTGGGAAACAGCGGTGAGTAGCGGAGAACCTCTGCCCGCCAAGCTACGCGTCCGTGTTCCCGTTTAGCTCGGCTACGACGGGATTCGTATTGTCGACGGAGGCGATCATCACAATATCCTACTTCCGGACTCACCGCTATGATTTAGCGCCACGATTTTGGTATCGCCAAAAATCGTAGCGTTGTGCATCTCCCTACTGATCTCTGGTCTATAGCAGAGGAGTGCCGCGTCTCCAGTAAATCTGGCACATCTCCTCATTGGAGGAGTCAGCTATAAGGAAAGGAAGGGAAGGGTCTCCAGTAAATGATCTGTGCCCATGATCTATATCTCATTCAAACTCGAGGCACGCTAGAACATAACCTTATTGCAGTAGTAAGAGGCGGCAAAATATTCTACATGCACAGAAATTGATAATAATTAGTGTAGTTAGTTAACTTAGTAATTAGTTGCTATGTGTATTCTTGAAGGCTAGTTTACAATAGACGACAGAGAATGCCACGACGTGCAGTCAACAGAAGAGGTGGGCAAGGTGCTGGTAATAATTATGCCGGTGGTGGTCGCGGTTATGGTACTTTCAGATCTCCTGGTGGATACAGAAGACCTGGTGGACGTGGAGGGTCTGCTGGTAAGAATTTTGGTTAATTATAACAATACAGTTGCTGGTCGACAATAATATTAGATCTCGTCCATTGACTACTACTTGATCGCATGGCCATCGTGGATCAGCCGATTTCTAGGTTGACATTTCTGTGTTTATTATTAAATTATCGGTAAATGATTATTAGAACATATTTACAAAATTGTGCATGTGTATTAAATTCCTATGAGATGATGATTATGATGTTATTTTTAATTTGACATAGGATGTAATTGCGTTTGGTTTTTTCAAAGGATTACGTGGTGGTGGCCATGGAAAAAGAAATTTTAAAAGACCTAGATCCAATCATGAGGACTCAGATAATAAAAGGCTGAAACTTGAAGTTGGAAAACGTTTAAAAGAAGTGGATATTGGAGTCACGGAATACCTGGGTAGCCACAAAGGTTTTTCTGGTGTAGTGAAGGAGAGATATGCAGACTTTCACGTACATGAAATTACTCTGAATGGAGAAGTAGCGAAACTTACAAATCAGGATATACCACCAGAACCAGAAGATCTTGAAAACATGGAAGAACTGAAAAAGACGGTGTCTCAGGATGTTTGGGATCAATTAGAAATGTTAATGGAGGCAGACAGTTTAGTCTCTTCTATAGAGATAAATGTAACAAACATGGATAAAGCTGAACGTAGAGCTATCCACATTATAGCAAAAAAAATTCCAAATGTTAACAGCCAAACTGTAGAACAGGGAAAGGAGAAACTTATTGTAGTTGCTAGAGCCAATAAGCAAAACTTAACTGGTAAATAAATTTTAGAAGTTTATAACATCCTACTTAAATCAAATTTGGTAATTTTTGATTTTCTACAGGTCATAAATTCCGAAGAGATCAGCGAGTAGACTGGGCTCGTCGTGGTGGCAATTATTGCCATTTTCTGTTGCACAAAGTCAATATGGACACTATGGACGCGTTGAATCAAATGGCCCTGTGTCTACGTATGAAGTCAAACATGTTCAACTATGCAGGTACTAAGGATCGTCGCGCCAGGACTACTCAGTGGGTGAGCTTAAAGAGAGTCAGTCCTAGCCACATATTAGATGCTGGTAAAGCAGTCAGAGGTGCTTATGTGGGCAACTTTAAATTCGGCGAAGAACCTCTCCGATTGGGAATGTTAAGTGGTAATAGATTTCGAATCGCACTGCGAAACGTAACGGGTACCGACGAGGATATCGAAAAGGCGATGACTTCTTTACGTGACAGAGGCTTCATTAATTATTATGGCCTACAAAGATTTGGTACTGTTGCTGCCATACCAACACATGAAATCGGGAAAGCTTTACTTCAAAGTAAATAATCATTATGATAAAGTTGAATTTAAGTTTTAACAACTTTACACATGAAGTGAAAAATATGTGTTCTGTGAGATAAAATTTGACTTTTATTATTTTACAGGTAAGTGGCATGAAGCTATTGAATTGATTCTTAAACCTAGAGCCGGTGAGCAACATAGGGATTTAGCTAAAGCCAGAGAAATTTACCAAAAGACTAAAGACCCTTTGGCGGCCTATCAGCATATTGGTAGACCAGATAAAATTGAGGCTAAACTCCTACGAGGTCTTCATCTTTGTGGTGATAGAAATCCTCAGGGTGCTCTCGATTGGATACCAAGGAATACAAGACTTATGTATATTCATGCATACCAGAGCTTTGTATGGAACAATATGGTGTCCAAAAGAATAAAGGATCTAGGATCTAAACCAATTGTCGGTGATCTGGTTTATGAAAATCCTAATTTCAAGGAGGAAATGGAAGGATTAGATTATTTGCAACAAGATAATGAAGATGATGATGATCAGAGTAAAAACAAAGGTAAAGAGCAACAAGAAAGTTCAGCAAAAATCGGAGATGAACAAAAGGAGCAGAATAATACAACAGAAAATGATTCGGCATTGGATGATAAAATGGTTCAAGATAAAAATAAACAGAGTGAGGATAACGAAGAAACAGCAGAAGCTAATGCCGAAAACATTAATAAGGAAGATTTTAAAAAATCGAAAGAGAATAGTGAAAAAGTTAAGGAGGATACCGAGAAGGATACTAATACTGTAAAAGCTGAGAAAGAAGAATTGCGAAATTTACCAGCAGTTAAGATTCTAACCGAAGAAGATTTGCCAAATTATACACTGGCCGACGTGGTAATGCCTCAACCTGGCTGGAGAGTAACTTATCCACCGTATGCAAAATCCTGGTTTGATGAGATTTTGGCCAAGGACGGTTTAACCACGGATTTAAGACAGAAAAACAAGTAAGTCTTCCAAGATGATTGAACGATTAAAAAAATATTGTGAGGTTTAATAGTTAATTAAAATTAAACCAATTTAAAATGCTTTAGAAAGTATACGTTGGGAGGAACTTATAGAAAAATGATGGAAATTCCGTCTGATCTCTCCTGGAGGATAATGCGCTATAAAGAAAGATATGACGACCTAATTCTGTGCGATGTCGATGAGATGCGAGGAAATGTGCCGCCTAAAGATGAACCTGGTATTGAGATATACTTGTATTTATTTTCTTCAATCTATGTGAATTGTAAATCTTAAAAGTATTGTTTTCACTGTTAGATGGAAAGTATAAAGCCCTTGTCGTTGAGATGTCCCTGAGGCCTTGTACTTATGCGACAATGGCACTTCGTGAGATATTGAAGTGCGACACGTCGCCACAGACTCAAGCGGCCCAATCAGCAGCTAACAGAGCCCAGGAAGATGAAGATGCTGAAAAGAAGAGATCCGAGGGCGAAAAGGAATTAGAAGAAACGAAGAGTAGGGACACAGAGAACGAGAAGGTATCAGAAGAGACGAAGAGTGAAGAGACAGAAAGGAATATAAAAGTGGAAAAAATTAAGGTGGAGCAGGATGATTTAAGTGACGAACTACAGGAAGAAGAAATGGAAATAACAAAAGATGAAGATACACAAATAAAGGAGGAAAAAGAAAAAGTTGATGCAGAATCTAGTATTAATGGTGAGATTATGGATAGTTTAGTTAAGCCTTAAGAAACATGAGAAAGAAAAATGACCCAAATGATTTTTATTTGCTGAGATATTTTTAATGTTCCTATCACTCCTCCATAGACTTAGATCACATTTATTACTTCATTAAGTTTTATAGGATTTTCCGTCAAATTCGCACTAGTATATATATATAGTATGCAATATTACCACGAATCACTTTTTGATAGTAGGTATTAAATCACTTAGGCTATTGCAATGGAAGCCAAGGTGTCCAAGGGAAGATAGGTGCCGGTATGTGTAGAGAAGTTCTACTCTTGACTTCATAATCATTCTGATAATTGTTACACGTGGAAGACGAATTAGTCGTAGTTGTACAGTGTGTTCTTTCGTGAGCCCTCAAATTACTGGCGACGGAGAATTTTTTATTGCATGTTTTGCAATCATAAGGTCGATCACCTGCAAATAAAAAACGTCACAACTCCAACTATCTCATATATTTGTATTACCGCTCAAATGTTCGCAAAGTAAATGTTTGAAGCAAGGAATGTTTCAATCCAAACATCTCGTAAAAAGTACTGTTTCCAAGTTCGTACTATCTGATCGAAACAGTTTTTCTCAATTTGCGCGCTTTGATTTATGGTAAAGTAGACAATCCTTAGTGAGCGACGGTAGCAGTCATATTGGTTCAATTTGCCAGTTTCAATTTTTACGAATATTTGAAAAAAGAAAATAATTGAAAAAATTGCATTTAAAGATAATGCATATTGGTAAGATAATGTTATCTAAGCTTGAATAACTTTAGTTTAAAGTAATGTCTTAACATAAATCTTAGACTGCGGAGACTATTTGCTTTTAGCATCGTCTCCGCGAATATGTACAGATAAAAATATTGAACATTGTTTTTCTTTATAAAATCACAATCTTAATATGATACCACTATGTAATTGAATGTGGTGGTGCAACGCTGCAGGTTTACAAAATCCTCGAGCACAAATTGGACATCTCAGTGGCCAATCACCGGTATGGGAGTATCCATGAGCTCGTAAGTCACCAGGAGTTGGAAAGGATCGACCGCACTGATCGCACTTGTGTGGTTTTTCCTATAATAATTTTTTATCAACAAAGATCGTTCCCGTTTCCAACGAAAAGGAAAAAAAGTTCTAGAAAGAACCTTGTAGTGAGTCATACGATGATAATACAAATTGGAAGATGCAGTAAACCGTTTACCACAGATTGGACACTCATGTGGTCGTTCTCCAGTGTGAATTCTAGCATGAGTATTCAAAGAACTACTTGTACTAAACATTTTCCCGCATACCGAACATCCGTGTGGTTTCTCACCTGCGAAAAAGACACAATTTTACTTCCACTGAACGAAAAAAAAAAAAAACTTAAAAAAAAAACTTAATTCGTTAAAATGTTACACGTACCGGTATGCGTTCGAAGATGCCGTTTTAGTAAAGAGGGTCTATCAAAATTTTTACCACAAGTTTGACATGGTAGCCTTCTTGGACATTTAGCAGAATTATTCGAACCTCTTTTCCCGCTTCCGCGACAACTTAAATCTAACGGAACTTCCTGCTCCATATTCCACGCTACCGGGGCAGTTCAATTAAATTCGAAATCCGCAGATTTTTCAAATTCACTCATTTACGCGCGTGACATTCTTATTTTCGTATCGCAACTTTGTTAAGATTAAAATAGACATTCAAACAGAAATCGTAGTCCAATGATACTCGATGGCTACGAGGAAGCCTCGAGGAGGTTCACCAAAATTTTAGAAGTGGCTGCGACATTAGAACAGAAATAATTCCAGGTGCGAAAAGGGTAGTTGGAAGGAAACATGAGGGCGTCAAAGACGTCGCGGCGCATGTCGAGGGCGGCGTCTTTTACGAGGGCGGAGTTTTCCCATCCACGATTATGCGAAACACCTGAAAAATATCGTATAATAACTTCGATCTCTAGTATATGGAAGTTATCGAGTAGCGTTTGACAAATGATACTCCGGGTAATTTCACGTCGAAATGCAAAAGCGCATTTCCATTGTGCGCAAGCATCAAATATTATCGTAGCATGCACAGTAAAAAGATTCATCCCTACGAAATGGCACCTCGGTAACGTCATCCAAGAATTCCGAATAAAAGCATACACCAACATCACAAGTAAGAGCAAGAATTAATTTTTATAATCTTAACGATACTTTCATCAAAGTATCATATAACAAGAATAAACATACTATAGCATTTCCGACTAATCCTGTTCAAGTTTTATTATTCGCCAAGCGTATAAGCATCGAATCGAAGGTTTCACATTGATGAAAGGCAATCGAACGGGGTGTATAGGGTATGAGAAATTCGAGTAAAAGACACCGACGACACAGTAACGTACTGTGTCATACAGTGAGCCATTGTCGTGTCAGTGTGTACCAGACGGTACCAGCGACTTTTCAATCGCGTTCTATAGAAATCACCTTAAAGTAATAGTCATCGAGGTATGACAAGCACATAGACCGTTGAAACAACCCCAATATCGCTCGCGATTAGGTCTCCACTCTTGAGTACGCTTTTGTACCACTTTAATTACACGCAACGCATCCAGAGTTCCATCATGACCAATAATGACTAAGCGATAGGCAGTAGGTAACGATTGCTGCAAGAAAAAAGTGGATACTATTTCCAGTTACATCAAGTATACACCAAGCGTGTAGCAAGTTCAAGAGTTGATTATACTGGTAGTATAGTAATATATGAAAATGTAAAGGCATCAGCGAACTCCGGAGCCATTAGACGTAATTATGACGTTGAGACAAGGTCCTTTGTGATCGAAGATGCGTCAGGTGAGAAATGGCAGGGGTCGAACGGATTGTCGTCACTATGATGATTTTTCAGAAAATATTCGTCCGGAGGTGAGATAATCGGCGTGTGGCATCGGGACGCCGGACGTCCCGTCGAGTCGTTCCCTCATTTGTCACCGGGAGGATATTAACGCCATTGAGACCTCGGGATCTTTACAAAACGCTCCTCCATGTCCATAGACGATATTGTGCGACCTCGTGCTGTATATTGTGGCATTATCATCGTTGATCGATTTGCGTAACGTGAAACATCGTTCCGATTCATCGGGGCGACGCGTTACGGGATGGGACGAAATTAAGTTTTAGTAATATTACGTGGAGTACGTCGTGTCTATTTGTTTGACGTACGAAAAGATGGCGTTGTATATAAGAACTTGAACAATGTTGTTTATTCGGCTTTAAGGTAATTTTTTTTTCCTATACAATTAAATACTTATACTTTGTCATTTACGTTTCAGTATTGTTACCCAATTTAGGAACGGTTACGAATGTCATTTTTTTCGTCCTTGGAACAAACTCCAGTTCTAATAATATTAATTCGTTTTGACCTCTCCGTAAATATGGGGCTGGCACGTAAAGCGTCATTTGAGGTCCTGCCAGTGGCCAATATCTGCCTAAATTATGTCCGTTGATGTATGCTACGCCTTTACCCCAGCCTGTGGTATCCAAAAAAGTGTCCAATGGTTTACCCTCTATAGTGAATTCTCCTTTAAGGAACACAGGGCCGTTATTCAAAGTTCCATGGTTGCTTCTCGTTGATTCCAAATTACGAAGTGGCTTAACGGTATTCAAACGAAAACCAGTTACGTTCCATTGGGGAATAGGTGATCCGTTAACAGTTACATTCCACAGACCCTAGATAGGTAATATTAAATATTTTTCAATAATAACTTTTAACGGCATTCCAATGATCTCAAATTTCATATATCTTATATATATGCTTTACCTTGAAATCCTCCATACCGCTGCCATAGTTCAGATGGCCTTGATTTTCTAACAGTAACTGTATTCTACTGCCGTACGGCTGTTCTAATGGTATCGTTGATGTTTTCTGAGTACGACTCAGTGTACTAACTAAATGAGAATCGACATAAACAAGAGCTCTGTCTGTTGCAATAGCGTGCAGTATACTAGAATCGGGACCACCCTGTGGCAAATATGCTTCGTATAAAACCAAACCGTATGGTAAGTCGAGAGATTCGAACGTCGGTAAAGTAGTCGTTGTTATTTGATTCGTTCCAAAAAGTGTTCTTGCCAACGGATCAAACAGATTGATTATCGACTCCATTAAAATGGGTCCATAATCACCTTTGGGCGATATGGTTGGTATTGTTAGATTTGGCATGGGAAGATACTGAAAGATTAATTTAGATTAATTAAGACTATACATATACATAATTAAGACTACACATGATATTGTATACCTTAGCTATGACGTCTCGTATCGCAAAATATTTCGGTGTGGGATCTCCAGCCTCGGTAAGAGGAGCATCGTAATCATAGGATGTCAATTGTGGACTGAATGTTTCTCCGCCATTAGCACCGGAAGTGAATCCAAAATTAGTTCCTCCATAAAACATATATATATTCACGGATGCTCCAACTGATAACATTTCGTATAATTTTGTCTTGACCGCCCGCTTTCCCACGGTTTGAAATGGTTCCCCCCAGTGAGTCAACCAACCCGGATAAAATTCCGAATTTACAAGCGGTCCCTGAATAAATAATTAATACATATCATTGTTTATCGCCGACTTCGTCATCGATTAAGTTTCATGATTTTACTTACCCTCGGCTGAAATATTCGCATAATCTCAAACGCTTTTGTTACGTTTGAATAAACTCCAAAATCTACTGTCGCATAGGCGCCCGTTACTACTCCACATTGTAGCATTTTTACCAATGCTCCATCGGTAGTATACAAAAGTGCATCGGTACCAACATGATGGGAAAATAATTGTTGTAAACTCACCATATACTGAATGTCACAGGCCGAGTAACTTCCGTACTCGTTTTCCACCTTGATCAATATTTATCATTATTATGCGTTTCGTCATCAGGGTGCAGATCATTGCCGATTCTCATGCGATTATTAAATATGCAGAGTATTAATAATTGGCAGTGATATGAGAATAATGAAAAAATATGTTTATACGATTCTATTGTCTTAATGGAATGTTTAAGGAAATTTTATGATATACCGATCATGTAGAGTTTCAATTTGATATTCTAATCATATGGAGAACATACCTGAACCATTATTATCGGACCGCCCTGTCCTCTCAAAAGTGGTTTAATTTTTTTGAGTACTTCATTCAGATAAACAGTAACGTATCCCATATACCCTGTGGCGATATATAAAAATCATCGATGTTCATTTAAGCATTTTAAATTGAAAAGAAAAACTTACGTTGATCATTAGTGCGGAACCGGATGTCTGGTACGCGGTTAAGCAACCAATAAGGTAAACCACCCTAAAAGTTAATCTGTAAATTATAATGAATTAGATAAAAAATTTTTTGTTCTTACCAAATCTCTCTCAGCGCATATATAAGGTCCAGGTCTAAGTAAAACCATTAGTCCTTCTTCTTGCGCAAGATTCAAAAAATGCATGAGATCCGCTTCTCCTGACCACATCCAAGTATCTGGTTGCGGTTGATGAAGACTCCATTCGACGTATCTAAAATAATCATAACCCGAGTGTGATCGCTATTATTCAAAATTATGAAATTTATAGCAACCGTGACTTACGTGCTAACTGCATTTAATCCTGCTGCTCGAAGTTTTCTCAGTCTGTCTCTCCAATAGTGCCTTGGTGTACGAAAATAATGAAAACTTCCGGAAACGTAACGAAATGGTTGTCCATCGAGAAGAAACTGATTATTTTGGTAATCAACTGCGAATCCATAACTCCCTTGTGTTTCCTGTGAGTTTAAACTAATTGCAATAATAACCTCAAATCTATTTACGAATTTTTTTACCTTTGCAATTTGGTTAAATTACGTGAAACTTTACGTTGAATATTACGCGGGGGTAAAATTCTACTCAGGACACTCAAAGTTACAGCTGCTATTATGCACAGCATTAAAATCTTTCTGTACGCCAATATCATACTTTTCAGTTTATGAATATCGAAATTCACTCTTTTCACTATTTTCAAAAATTAATAAACATTCGAAGGAACTTCATCTGTTTTTGTTTCTTTCTATTCGACACACTCCAAGTTACTCTCATATCGTCACCTACTGTCTAACACATTATTTGTCATGGACACGAAACAGTAACGAGTTGACAATTTAGATGACGCATGCATTATATGGATCAAGATTGATTCACATATGAATAGATATACAGTAATACGTATCTTTCACACTTCAAGTATAGTAGTACAGTATACAGTACAGATTTCGTAAAGGATATAACAATTGTTTATTTTGATCAGTACCAACCAAATGAATATCTCCCAACAGTCTTAATGCTAATAAATATATAATTTGTGCAATAAATAGTATATCAAATACATATATGAAATATCTGTCACAATATGAATAAAAAGTATCACCGAGTCATAAAAATTTAGTAAAATTTTAAAGATATACATATTTCATTAACGTTCTTCATAGTTCAAGTATAAAATCTGTGTGAGAAATTCTTTAGTGAAGCATACCGAAATATTGATGGTATCCAGTGCAGTGGCCGTTAAGGCCAAGACCAAGTTCAGTAACAGGAATTTCCACATTCTATTTCTCGTGCACTGTTGTCATGTAGATGATAGCACACGTAACACAAAGGCGAAGGTGTACCAACCACCGCTGCTCAAAGTGCACTGAACATAAGCCTCACAAATACCGTATTATGACCTTGGTGCGTTACAATGGACATGAAAATCTTAGTAATCGTATAAGAGGTCAGATAAAACTGTGGTATGTTTGTGATAACTGCAATTCGTGACGGTTAGGTTAACAATTTTTATTATCGTATTTATGTGTTATCCCACGGAGATTTTGAAAAACAGTGATCAGTTACTATGTTAAGCTTTAACGTGTATTTCTAGCGAGGATATAAATGGGGAATTTACTGGGTATCTTGTTTTACCCAGAATTGATTACGTCAGATCATGTAAATTTAACGTTTTTTTTATAGCTTATCTCTATTTTGCCTTTCAAGTTTTTATCAACCTGCTCATTATCTTCCTTTTGTGTCCCCACTGTGCGAACGTTTATGTTGTGAGAGTGTGAAGAGTTTTGTTACAAAATTGTATAATTATTATTTTTTTCCTCCGTTGCAGCAGTGAAAATTTGTATTTTAGTTAGTATTTTTTGTGTTTGTCTATCAGTCGCGAGTAAGGCGAACTACCGTTAGGTCAAATTACTAACTAAAGTAAGGGGAACGTATTGTTCGTTACCCATAAAGTCTATGTAGGCTAGTTCTTTGTTACTTATGCATCTCACGTGGGTTTACTTGATATGTACAATTTGAACTACGAATTAGATACATGCTAAAGTATGTCAAATCGGATTTTGTACATCTGTCTTGAATATTATTTCAGTTGGTAGATTCAAATAATGATTTCACGGGGTGTTATAGTTATTTTGTTTACTTTATACGAATATTCATTACTTGATATATGGTTTAATTACAAAATACGTTTCCATTGTTTTAGTATGATAAGATAAAAAACTGGTAAAAAAAATGTGGTCTGAACTTATAAAATTTATATTAAATATCATTTACCACTTGTCAAATTGTCGTTTGAATTCGCGTTCAATGCAGCTTACAATGAGACAAAGAGAATCTCCGACCTCGATTCCCACATAAACAAACTGCCCGACTTATCCAAAATTTATTGACTCTGCACATTCCTTAGCGCCGATAAACGCTTATATTATATAACGAAGATGGTAGAATCATCAGAGGGTTCAGGCGCTTAATTGAATAAGGCGTATATCTATTTATTAGAAACAAGTTAGCTTTTTATGTCATTAGAAGGCCTATCTTAAAACCGCAGTCAGCGACACTCGTACCGACGAACCTCGAAGATATTCGTAGAGAAACAATTCTACCAGCCAAGACATCCAATAGTCTTGAAAGTAATACCACAGCCAGTCTGCTGTTAAGCAAGTCTGTCCAGATGGCGTTGACCCGCCTCCAGTCCACCTAGTCAATGTTGATTTCGTACCTCCGTTGAGAACCGACATGTTAACTTTTCGTTCAGCAAAATCCTCCAACAACAACCTTCTCGTGCAACCCGAAGCTTACTATCACCGAGAAGTTTCTAACATTCTACAGAGACAATGGAGCTATTCTTTTTTCACTTTGTAGAGCAAAGCTTTACATTTATTTACGTCCTTTCGCCCACAAATTTCTGATAATCCTAATAATCGATTGTGACTCGAATCTGCCTTAGTCATACGTACACAACACAAGATAACAATTTAATGTTTTGTTGCTTTAGGTGATTTTCACTCATGACTCCTTCGAGCGAATCAATAAATGATGAAGAACATTCGAAACTCAAAACGATCGACTAGCAATACATAGTACTGATATTTGAGCTCCTTCGTAATTAATGTGGTCTATTCACGCTTATAAAATTTATACATTTTTTTAGACTTTCAACATTTATATCATCTACCAGTACCCGTTGCTATGCTCTATATTATCTTTTCATATGATGAGGTACATATATATTATTTTAATTAGTATAAATAATTTTTGAATTCTCATCAGGTTATGCAAGTCATAGCTGACTAAATACTGCTAAATTAATATGGAATCAGGTGTGCTGAAATTGATGAATCATAATTTTTATCAGAAAATCAACACAGTAACATTCATAAAATTTCGTACAACAAAATCTTCATAAAAATTCCTCGATAATTACACAAAATTGGATATAATATTATTTATTCACGAGGTGTTTAAAAATCACCCAAGTATACTAATTACAAGAACCGGTTACTCGTATAAGCATGCCCTGCAGTAATAAGTTTTATTGTGATAAACAATTAAGATAAGGAATCGAAATTTTTCGTAGATTTCAACGATTGTGATGAAATTCATAATTTATTTGAATCTTCGGAACTGGATTTTACTGATGGCGTTACAGTTGTCGGTTTCTCAGTGGTCGATATTGTAGCAGTTATACAGCTAGGTTCGGTGGTGGTAGTAGTAGTAGATTGAAGTGAAGTTTCATCAGTAGTCATTGGTTCATGTATTTCATCAGTAGAAGCTTCACCGGATATATTGAATGATTCGTCTGAAGAATCGCTGGACGATTCGTCTGATGATTCGATGCCATTTTCATATCCAGAATCAGGTGCTGGGAACGTTATAACGACGGGACTAGGGTATGGACGATGTAATCTTCCATTACCAGATATAATGTCGTTCAAGTAAGGAGGAATATTGACGGGTCTTCTAAGTGAACCATATGGATAAATAAACGAACTTAGGAATGGGACTGGATAAGTTTTCGAATGAATAGTGTTTCTTAGTTCGGAATGTGGAATATTGATAGAATTGTCAACCGGAGGAATGAAGTAAGCCACTGCACTGGGTAGGTCTACGTTATTTTCATGTATTCTAACAGGAATAGCTCGACAAGCTTGCAGAATAGCAACAATTGCTAATAAAATCATCACGATGGAGCCTGAAATAAAATAAAAAATCTATTTATATTCTAGTTTGAATTACCGAATTAAATTTCGTAATTCTACGTATACACGTGTCGAGGTAAGGATAATTTCAAAGCTAGGTAATACTTTTGCAAGGGTTTGTACGATTTATTGTAATTAAAATTAAAGGACAATTAGGGTGGTTAAGTTTCTCAGGGTTCTTAAGTCGTCGCCACATGTGTGTATGTACATTTATTTATCTAACTGTATAAGCCTAGAGCTAATTAAACGTAAAATTTCATGGACTTACCCTTCATTATTAGAATCTGTGCTGCTAATAACACAATTAGTTAATACGTCCTGGACGTCAATTCGAAATCACTGGATGTCAATGATTATTTCTTGTATTTATATAAAGGTTGCTATCAGTTTCCATACACGCAAAAATACCAGATTGTCAGATAAAATGTTCTGACTTATTTTCATCGTTTATTCGTAACGGTGGTAATGCGAATACAATATCATTGTGCAATTGGCCTGAGCAATTCTGATTAAATAAAATTATCAATTGCATAAACACTCAATCGAATAATTAACATTACACAGAATTTCTATTATTTTCAAATTCGATTACGTATACGAAAATGTGTTATCACCTGCTTCTTTTATTCTGAAGCTCGGATATTGAACATCGGGGTTAAAGCTTTACTGATGGCCAACACACAGGCATCTCATAACTTTTGATAGTTGTTATGGCGGTACTGATAGCAGTGCTTAGAGACCCATTTAAAAAACATCCTTAATTCAGCTTGCATGTTCATTTGATGGCGTCACATGAAATATAACTACTAATTACACATTTTTTATATACTTCAAAAATAATTTTATTTGTACACTAATAGTACAATGCATATAATTCGTACAATTTTTTAAATAATTTAACGTCATCTCGTATACAGTATCCAAGGGTATGATGTGATCATCATTCTATTATTATAAATATTACAAAGCGACAGCAACATTTGCGTCAATGAAGTTTCTCAATTTCTACGAAATCAAATATCGTTATCAGTAATCATTACTGTTTCAATGTTACAATTATATTTAACAAAATGGAGTTATAGTAAATACTGTTGTCTAAAGTCATAATGAATTTGACGTGAAACAACTTAGATTTAATCGATTCCTTCGATATATCGATTTCATCTAATCGTAGTACCCGACAAAGATGAGGTATATAGATATTATATATATTTAGTCTCACGGGGATTTATGTTACTGTATCAGAATCTAGATTACATGCGTAAGTTCAATATGTAGTATATGTTTAATACACGTAATATATACATATATATATCCTAGGTAACAAGAATGCCACTTTACGAGTTATTGTACATAAATGTCAAAAGAAGTATCTACAGTATTATGATATACAGAATTTTTTAATTGAATTTATGACTAGTAATAGATACCATGCGAATGTTTTCACGTTGGTAATAGTAAATACCGTAATAGTGACGTGGATCTGATGATCACCAAATTATAGTTTTACACTGAGATTAATGGATTTTTATTTGTTTCGTTTCATCGATTGATTCTTGGATTGAAAGAGTGAGCATGTGAGAAGATGATGATTAACGTAGAAAGGTGCAATGCTAAAATAGTTACTTTATTCATAATCAATAAAATTGATATATTACGGTTCGCACTATCAATATCTAATATTAATATAAGACACTACATCCATATTGTTCAACAAATGCATAATTTTTTCAAATCAGAAAAAATGTACAGTTGGGCGTTATCTTATTTTAAAAGTAGGCCTGAATATGATATGTCCTCGTAATCCACCTGCTTCATTATAATTACGACCGGAATTTGTTTTTCGTCGATTGCCCTTTGATCTAGGTTCAGAGTCACTTGATCCTGTCTATCCTGAACGGCCAGTTGATGATGTACTGTACCCTGAAGTACCTGATGGTGATCCAGAGACATCAGCGATGATATCTACTGTACTGCCTACGTTGACCGGAATTCCTGTTTAGTTCATATTTTCCATAGTTGTTGAATCGATTGGAGTTGCGTTAGATGATGAACCGTCATGTGCGGGATCTCGTGTAAAAAGTGCAGAGAATTCCACGGCAGTCCCGACGTAATTGGTATTGGATTCAGTGGCAAATTCTAATTGAAATGTGAAACTAGTCTGGTGCTATCCATTCAAATAGGAGTCTGGTGATGCGATTGAAGTGGCAAAAGATTGTAAAGTATCATCAGTATTACTGGATGAAGTAGATGCTTCAATGACAAAGCTCTCAGACCATAACGCTTCTTCATATTTAGAAGTTTCTGCAGGATCTACAAGAGTACCAAAAGAGTCCGTGACCGTGACAACATCAGCTACCGTGGTTGAGTCCGTATAATCAAATGCAGCTATAGTATATACTGGCAGTGATGTACTTGTATTTATAACAACAGCAACTGCACTACTATCTGACGATGTTATTATATCTGTAACTGAAGATTCCGTTGAAGATTCAATGCTTTGTTCAGTTGGACCACTTGAAATAAATGGATTTAGATTTGGGCTGATGGTGTCTGGAACTAGGTAAATTGGTGTGACAGTAAAAGGTAATGTGGTTGATGTATCTTCGATTCCTGATACATCCGAGGAACCCATGTAAGAGGTCGCGAAGTTATTGGCAACGAAAGTGCTGATATATTTGTCACTGATAGATACTGATGATATGCCATGGTCACTTATGGCAGAGGTGGTAGTAGTTACTGGTGTACTGGCATCAATATCAATGTTCTCCTTTCCCGATGTTGATCCAGCTTCGATGATGGCAGATGATGGTCCTACGTTGTTGATATCGGAAGAAGTATCAGTTGTATAGGTGCTTAATGATGATACTGAGTTTTCAATAACATATTCAAAATTGGCTGTAATGTCACTAGATATTGATTAACGTGCCCGCTGGGATATGAATCTTCAGAATCGCAAATGTTATTCATTGCAGTCTTGAAGCTACAAATGTTACATTTGACAAATAGTAGAAGATAAACATCCGAGAGTGAATGTATTGAAAGTTCGACCATCGTAATATATCATTCATTACTATTATAATTTAGTTTGTATTGCCTGACATTTCAAATATTTACACACAAAATTCGCAGGGAGCGTGGTTAAGCATTACCTGAATTAGCTACATTTATATTTCCTTCGTCAATGGATCCCATTGAACTTCCACCATCGGAATTTGAAGTTGAACTACCATTAACAATAGCTACGTCTACAGGAGATATATCTGCTACGGTGTTGTCAACCGACGCACCAACATTGGATGCAGCAGCGGCGGATTTAGGTACAACGTCCTTGAAGATAGATACTGCAGCCGCTATAATTTTGTCAACTAATGTAGTGGCATCAGAAGCAACGACGTCAGATGTAGAAGCTACGCCGTCAGATGCGACGACGTTGGAGGCAGATACAGCATCTGGCACAGTGCTATCAACTGATGCACCGACATCAGAAGCAACGACGTCAGACGTGGAAGCTGCGGCGTCAGGTGCAACGACGTCAGATGTAGAAGCTGCGGCGTCAGGTGCAACGACGTTAGATGTGGAAGCAGCGGCGTCAGATGCGACGACGTTGGAGGGAGATACAACATCTGCCACAGCGTTATCTACTGATGTTGCGATGTCAGAAGCAACAACGTCGGACGTGGAAGCTGCGGCGTCAGGTGCAACGACGTCAGATGTAGAAGCTGCGGCGTCAGGTGCAACGACGTTAGATGTGGAAGCAGCGGCGTCAGATGCGACGACGTTGGAGGGAGATACAACATCTGCCACAGCGTTATCTACTGATGTTGCGATGTCAGAAGCAACAACGTCGGACGTGGAAGCTGCGGCGTCAGGTGCAACGACGTCAGATGTAGAAGCTGCGGCGTCAGGTGCAACGACGTTAGATGTGGAAGCAGCGGCGTCAGATGCGACGACGTTGGAGGGAGATACAACATCTGCCACAGCGTTATCTACTGATGTTGCGATGTCAGAAGCAACAACGTCGGACGTGGAAGCTGCGGCGTCAGGTGCAACGACGTCAGATGTAGAAGCTGCGGCGTCAGGTGCAACGACGTTAGATGTGGAAGCAGCGGCGTCAGATGCGACGACGTTGGAGGGAGATACAACATCTGCCACAGCGTTATCTACTGATGTTGCGATGTCAGAAGCAACAACGTCGGACGTGGAAGCTGCGGCGTCAGGTGCAACGACGTCAGATGTAGAAGCTGCGGCGTCAGGTGCAACGACGTTAGATGTGGAAGCAGCGGCGTCAGATGCGACGACGTTGGAGGGAGATACAACATCTGCCACAGCGTTATCTACTGATGTTGCGATGTCAGAAGCAACAACGTCGGACGTGGAAGCTGCGGCGTCAGGTGCAACGACGTCAGATGTAGAAGCTGCGGCGTCAGGTGCAACGACGTTAGATGTGGAAGCAGCGGCGTCAGATGCGACGACGTTGGAGGGAGATACAACATCTGCCACAGCGTTATCTACTGATGTTGCGATGTCAGAAGCAACAACGTCGGACGTGGAAGCTGCGGCGTCAGGTGCAACGACGTCAGATGTAGAAGCTGCGGCGTCAGGTGCAACGACGTTAGATGTGGAAGCAGCGGCGTCAGATGCGACGACGTTGGAGGGAGATACAACATCTGCCACAGCGTTATCTACTGATGTTGCGATGTCAGAAGCAACAACGTCGGACGTGGAAGCTGCGGCGTCAGGTGCAACGACGTCAGATGTAGAAGCTGCGGCGTCAGGTGCAACGACGTTAGATGTGGAAGCAGCGGCGTCAGATGCGACGACGTTGGAGGGAGATACAACATCTGCCACAGCGTTATCTACTGATGTTGCGATGTCAGAAGCAACAACGTCGGACGTGGAAGCTGCGGCGTCAGGTGCAACGACGTCAGATGTAGAAGCTGCGGCGTCAGGTGCAACGACGTTAGATGTGGAAGCAGCGGCGTCAGATGCGACGACGTTGGAGGGAGATACAACATCTGCCACAGCGTTATCTACTGATGTTGCGATGTCAGAAGCAACAACGTCGGACGTGGAAGCTGCGGCGTCAGGTGCAACGACGTCAGATGTGGAAGCAGCGGCGTCAGATGCGACGACGTTGGAGGGAGATACAACATCTGCCACAGCGTTATCTACTGATGTTGCGATGTCAGAAGCAACAACGTCGGACGTGGAAGCTGCGGCGTCAGATACGACGACGTTGGAGGCAGATACAGCATCTGCCACAGTGCTATCCACTGATGTAGCGACGTCAGAAGCAACGACGTCAGACGTGGAAGCTGCGGCGTCAGGTGCAACGACGTCAGATGTAGAAGCTGCGGCGTCAGGTGCAACGACGTTAGATGTGGAAGCAGCGGCGTCAGATGCGACGACGTTGGAGGTAGATACAACATCTGCCACAGCGTTATCTACTGATGTTGCGATGTCAGAAGCAACAACGTCGGACGTGGAAGCTGCAGCGTCAGATACGACGACGTTGGATGCAGATACAGCATCTGCCACAGTGCTATCAACTGATGCACCGACATCAGAAGCAACGACGTCAGACGTGGAAGCTGCGGCGTCAGATACGACGACGTTGGAGGCAGATACAGCATCTGCCACAGTGCTATCAACTGATGCACCGACATCAGAAGCAACGACGTCAGACGTGGAAGCTGCGGCGTCAGATACGACGACGTTGGAGGCAGATACAGCATCTGCCACAGTGCTATCAACTGATGCACCGACATCAGAAGCAACGACGTCAGACGTGGAAGCTGCGGCGTCAGATACGACGACGTTGGAGGCAGATACAGCATCTGCCACAGTGCTATCAACTGATGCACCGACATCAGAAGCAACGACGTCAGACGTGGAAGCTGCGGCGTCAGATACGACGACGTTGGAGGCAGATACAGCATCTGCCACAGTGCTATCAACTGATGCACCGACATCAGAAGCAACGACGTCAGACGTGGAAGCTGCGGCGTCAGATACGACGACGTTGGAGGCAGATACAGCATCTGCCACAGTGCTATCAACTGATGCACCGACATCAGAAGCAACGACGTCAGACGTGGAAGCTGCGGCGTCAGATACGACGACGTTGGAGGCAGATACAGCATCTGCCACAGTGCTATCAACTGATGCACCGACATCAGAAGCAACGACGTCAGACGTGGAAGCTGCGGCGTCAGATACGACGACGTTGGAGGCAGATACAGCATCTGCCACAGTGCTATCAACTGATGCACCGACATCAGAAGCAACGACGTCAGACGTGGAAGCTGCGGCGTCAGATACGACGACGTTGGAGGCAGATACAGCATCTGCCACAGTGCTATCAACTGATGCACCGACATCAGAAGCAACGACGTCAGACGTGGAAGCTGCGGCGTCAGATACGACGACGTTGGAGGCAGATACAGCATCTGCCACAGTGCTATCAACTGATGCACCGACATCAGAAGCAACGACGTCAGACGTGGAAGCTGCGGCGTCAGATACGACGACGTTGGAGGCAGATACAGCATCTGCCACAGTGCTATCAACTGATGCACCGACATCAGAAGCAACGACGTCAGACGTGGAAGCTGCGGCGTCAGATACGACGACGTTGGAGGCAGATACAGCATCTGCCACAGTGCTATCAACTGATGCACCGACATCAGAAGCAACGACGTCAGACGTGGAAGCTGCGGCGTCAGATACGACGACGTTGGAGGCAGATACAGCATCTGCCACAGTGCTATCAACTGATGCACCGACATCAGAAGCAACGACGTCAGACGTGGAAGCTGCGGCGTCAGATACGACGACGTTGGAGGCAGATACAGCATCTGCCACAGTGCTATCAACTGATGCACCGACATCAGAAGCAACGACGTCAGACGTGGAAGCTGCGGCGTCAGATACGACGACGTTGGAGGCAGATACAGCATCTGCCACAGTGCTATCAACTGATGCACCGACATCAGAAGCAACGACGTCAGACGTGGAAGCTGCGGCGTCAGATACGACGACGTTGGAGGCAGATACAGCATCTGCCACAGTGCTATCAACTGATGCACCGACATCAGAAGCAACGACGTCAGACGTGGAAGCTGCGGCGTCAGATACGACGACGTTGGAGGCAGATACAGCATCTGCCACAGTGCTATCAACTGATGCACCGACATCAGAAGCAACGACGTCAGACGTGGAAGCTGCGGCGTCAGATACGACGACGTTGGAGGCAGATACAGCATCTGCCACAGTGCTATCAACTGATGCACCGACATCAGAAGCAACGACGTCAGACGTGGAAGCTGCGGCGTCAGATACGACGACGTTGGAGGCAGATACAGCATCTGCCACAGTGCTATCAACTGATGCACCGACATCAGAAGCAACGACGTCAGACGTGGAAGCTGCGGCGTCAGATACGACGACGTTGGAGGCAGATACAGCATCTGCCACAGTGCTATCAACTGATGCACCGACATCAGAAGCAACGACGTCAGACGTGGAAGCTGCGGCGTCAGATACGACGACGTTGGAGGCAGATACAGCATCTGCCACAGTGCTATCAACTGATGCACCGACATCAGAAGCAACGACGTCAGACGTGGAAGCTGCGGCGTCAGATACGACGACGTTGGAGGCAGATACAGCATCTGCCACAGTGCTATCAACTGATGCACCGACATCAGAAGCAACGACGTCAGACGTGGAAGCTGCGGCGTCAGATACGACGACGTTGGAGGCAGATACAGCATCTGCCACAGTGCTATCAACTGATGCACCGACATCAGAAGCAACGACGTCAGACGTGGAAGCTGCGGCGTCAGATACGACGACGTTGGAGGCAGATACAGCATCTGCCACAGTGCTATCCACTGATGCAGCGACGTCAGAAGCAACGACGTCAGACGTGGAAGCTGCGGCGTCAGGTGCAACGACGTCAGATGTAGAAGCTGCGGCGTCAGGTGCAACGACGTTAGATGTGGAAGCAGCGGCGTCAGATGCGACGACGTTGGAGGTAGATACAACATCTGCCACAGCGTTATCTACTGATGTTGCGATGTCAGAAGCAACGACGTCGGACGTGGAAGCTGCGGTAGCAGGCACAACAACGTTAGATGTTGCAGCGGCGGCGTTAGATGCCACGACGTTGGAGGTAGATACAGCAGCTGCAACAGTGCTGTCCGCTGATGAAGCGACGTCAGAAGCAATGACGTCGGACGTGGAAGCTGCGGCAGCAGGCACAACGACGTTTGATATTGCAGCAGCGGCGTCAGATGTAACGACGTCAGACGTGGAAGGTACAGCGTTAGGCACAACTACGTTAGACGTTGCAGCAGCTGCGTCAGTTGCGACGACGTTGGAGGTAGATACAGCAGCTGCAACAGTGCTGTCCGCTGATGAAGCGACGTCAGAACCAACGACGTCGGACGTGGAAGCTGCGGCAGCAGACACAACAACGTTAGATGTTGCAGCGGCGGCGTTAGATGCCACGACGTTGGAGGTAGATACAGCAGCTGCAACAGTGCTGTCCGCTGATGAAGCGACGTCAGAAGCAACGACGTCGGACGTGGAAGCTGCGGTAGCAGGCACAACAACGTTAGATGTTGCAGCGGCGGCGTTAGATGCCACGACGTTGGAGGTAGATACAGCAGCTGCAACAGTGCTGTCCGCTGATGAAGCGACGTCAGAAGCAACGACGTCGGACGTGGAAGCTGCGGTAGCAGGCACAGGCGTTAGGCACAACTACGTTAGACGTTGCAGCAGCGGCGTCAGATGTGGAAACTGCGGTGTTCGGTGCGTCGACTTTGGATATAGATGCTGTATTTGTTGCAGTGTTGTCAGTCGATGCAACGGCCTCAGGTGCAGCGAGGTTAGATACAACATTGTTAGATGTGGAAGTTGCGGCGTCAGAGACGATAATGTTGGAGGTAGATACGGCGTTTATTCCAGTATTGCCAGCAGAAACTACGGGTGCGATGACGCCTGATGTAATAGTATCAGATGGGATAGTTGCTATGTTGGATGGAACGGCATTTGATGTGGATACTGTGACATCAACTGAAGTACTTCTGTTTGGTACAACTACGCTGGATGAGGAACCTGCGTTAATTGTAATTCCGGCCTTTGATGCAACTGCGGTTAATGTGGGGTCTTTGTTAGATGATGTTCCTACGTTATCTATAACTGCACTTAGTGAGGATCCTACGTTAATTGCAGTTCCGGTGTTAGATGCAATTGCAGCCAGTGATGAAGGTCTGTTAGACGCAATTCCACCAGTAGACGGAGCTGCGGAATTTTTTCCATGCAAACTGGCTAGAAGTACCGAAACAGCCTTAGGTGTTTCTTCTACAGATATGTCATTCTTCGCAGAGTTTTCAAGTTCCTTCGACTCTTGTGAGTCCGTCTCCTGAGATTCTTCACTATCTTGATCTTCAATAGAGTTCTCATGGTCATACAGTTTTTTCAATTGTTTCTTTGCTTTTTTAATGATATCCTTCCATTCCGAAGAATCATTTTCTTGAGAATCAGAATCCTGAAGACTGTTTTCCAATTTTGCAGCCTTGATGATTCGCGAAATATCGTCATATTTATCTTTCAAGATTTTCTTAACCTCGTCACCGTAATTAACCGATTCATCGCTTTCATTTTCATAATGATCTTTCAATTTAGATAATTGTTTTTTTATAGAATCCCACGTGGGCGCGGCGATCGTTGTACCAATCAAAAGCACAACGATACAAACACTGAAAACTAAAAACACGTATCGTCAGAAAAACACGATTAATAATTAATAAAGAATATATTTCCAATAGCCCAATAATCGACACTCCTAAAAATTACCTTTCATAATGACAAAATTTTACACTTCACTCAGTCATTTATGATCACTCTAAATGATTATTACGGTTCACTATAATTATTCAGTTCACTTTACTTTGAACTGAGAATGAATACTCTCTTATATACTATTATGTACCTGGAGACATTGTCTTATCTGGCTTGTTTAACCCTCCCATGAAATTTTTAGTTTTTTAACAGATTTATTGCTATTTCCGTAATGAGTCACAGTACCGTGATCAAGTAATCCCTATTGTACATATTATTTTCGCATACCAAATATACGTTTAACAGTAACGTTTGCATCTAGGGGGCTTACGTAACATGAAATGAATTTAAAAACGATTAGCATTGATTTTAACAAAAGAGAAAAATCTAATGACAACAGTATGAATCTCTGCAGAAGTCGTACATTACAAATTTTAATTGTTCATTTTTAAATATACGACTAAATATTTCCATAACGAACGTGCGTCAAACGAAATCCCACTCTTTTACATTATTCACGCACACGAAGCGTAAGTACATTCAGACTTATCTCACAACAATAAATCAATTACGGAATAATTTTCGCAAACGAATTCCGCAAGTAAGATACGAGATTCACAATGAAAATTAGATAATTAGATATTAATAAAACATTTTTTTTAACATAAACATAAACAAATCATACAATACAGATGTAATTTGAATTACAATAAAAATGCAAACCCTGTTTATCATTTCATAGAAATATAATAATAATTATCTTATTATCGTTATCAATAAAATAAATTAAATTCTGAATTTAATTATATATATCTTTTATATATATCAATAAGACAAAGAATATCAGGCGCACATTTATAGTCACAGTTTGTCACCTTCCAATGATTTTTCACATCATACAGAGATCATTAAATTTGTATGATACATATAGGTACTGTATGTTTATACGTGGTATAAGGATATATACCGGCCGAGAAATCGTAAACGTTAGAAAATGAAAGTGACTGGTGGATTTAAGAATATAGTGAAAGTGGGAATGATCCTGACCCAGGACATCCAGCTTCCTTGGAGAGATCTCTGATGAAGTCGAGGTGGGTTAATAGAAATCTTGGTTGGGTCAGGTCAGGACGATGGGAGTGAAAATGAAAGTGAAAACGAAATGAAACTGAAAGTGAACGGATATAGCCATACCGGTAGTTTCTGTTTGTATTTCACTTGTGGGAGTGAAATTGAGGGCAGTAGAAGTGGGCCAGTAGAACTACGCACTCATTTACATGTATATTTGCGCTTATATACATACATTGAGGTTTCACTCCCAATTTTTATGGCTACAAATTGAACTTTCTTATTAACCTTAGACATAGTTGGTATGAATCATCGTTAGAATATTATTGTTACAAATAATAGAAGCAATAAACATTTTACGTTATCACGAATCCCGACGTCATCGCCATCCGGGTACCAAGATCAACAATTCATAACATATTGGTATGCCAGATCATTGTGTTTGCCATGTTGTGACGTCTTTGAGATAGAAAACATAATTTTGATTGTTGTGAATTCTGTGAGTGATAAGGATAATTCCCATTAACAATTTTTTTTCAAAAAGTCACTTATCCTGGACTTTGAATGGTCTTGATCCATTGGAATGTACGTGTCATCAGTTTATACGTCACATAATTTTTCTGTATAATTGTTTTGAAAATAAAAATTATTGATGAGGGTTTAGATGACTTTTTGTTTTTTATAACCGTGGAACGTACACATTGTGCCGTGTCATTTGCTACATTATTTGAGACAACTTCCTCCCATAGATGTTGACTGAACAGGTAAAATAAACTAGACATCCAATGGAATATTGTGTCACGCGGGGCTGAGTGTTGCAGCTGTCTACCATTGAAATGCTGTATATACATAGATATATGTATATAGTACATATCCAAGTAGCGAGGCACAAAATACACGAGCATGTTTAGTTTACTTAGGCTAATCGCAAAGATAAATCGAATACAAATGGTAAATCATTATGGTGGAAGCAAGCCTTATAGTTAGTCAAGCGTTATAAATAAACTACTGATCTGCTAAAATATTACGAAAACTTCGTATTATCAGTGCGGCATAATTTCTATAGTTCGTATTATAGACGGCAGATGTCGTTACTTGCCAGGACAAAAACACTGCTATATTTAGCACGTGAATACATTTACCTACAGTCGATACAGAATTGAAAATTAAATTTCAACAGCTGTTTTCAACATCTTCGAGTTGACAGATGAAATATACATATGTATACAATTTATCTCCACATATTTGAACGTGGCACTTGATCACCTAGGGGATACAAAGTCACAAAGGAATAAGAAAAAGAAACTGAAAAGTTTCCAACTGGCAGGATTTTCATGCACCAAGCGTAAGCAGTACATGTTACACGTTGCATCCATATGTAAGGAAAGTTTACCAATGGAAAACGCCATAATAGACTATAGATACTGTACGTTTCATGTACTTTACACTAAATTCCACTGAAGTAAAAAAGTAGCCAATGATAACAATACTGAACGATTATCAACCAAGAAAATAAACTATTTTTCTAATCACAGACAACACTACAACCTTAACAGTCCAATCACATGCGCCTTAAATCCAATCTTTTAAATATAACAAAAAAATTATCAGCGTGTATATTTGTAAACTGTGATCGCAGACTTATTCTACATTTAAACACATAGAATTTCAATCACGTACAGTTAAGACGAGCCTCAGTCAAAGGCGAAAGGTTACCTCGTGTATTTTGAGGATAATGAAAACTCTAATTGCGATTATGTACTTCAACATCCGATGTGTTATCTTATAAATGTAATAAACAGTGATAAATCCATAAAGTAGAAGAAATCATTTTTGCATTCGTGATATCGTTATACATAACAGTCATCCACATTACATTCAGATCATATATGTATAACGTAACGCTTGTAAAATTATTCCTATAAGTAGAATCATCAGTCACCGTGGAATATCCCGTTCTGATTTTTAAATAGTCAACTCGATTCCATTATTAAAAAATTGTCTAAAAAGAGGTAAATAAGTGCATGAACTGCACAGTCCCTATCAAAAACTCACACGCATACGTTCATATGTGTATATTATAAAATCATCGACTCTGTCCTATCACAATTGCCCCAGACGAACCAAGTCATGGGTCATTAAATATACTTGTTAATTTCCCCAACTCATATATAAGTTTCACGATTCGTTTATTTATTCCACATGCTAGGTCATGCGTTGGCTAATGCTTATAATTATGCCTGTGTTCGGGAATTCTTATTGGTTCATCCTCTTCAGCTAATTTTCTTATCTTCAATCTCATTCGACACTCGATACACACACACGATACGACACGTTCGATCCTCGTACACTTCACATTTTGTCTCATCAGTTTGATAATTCTTATTATTATATTTATATTCATTAATTCCTGTCGCTTCTTTCTCTATGTAGATATTTTTCCTATTTCTCCTCCTTTTATCTCATCCGATCCTCTCCCCATGTCTTTGCATCCAATTACATACGATAACTCCACGGAATCTATAATTGCTCTAGCATGATACATGTAATCTTCACAGATTCAAAATATTCCATTCCTCAACCAAAAATTCTGATAAGAGCTGTTACGAAACAAAATTTAAAATTGCTGAATCTGGAGCGTGCTCCTGAACAGTTCATGTACATATGTAATATATGTGGTATTCACACTGTACGTGAACAGTATATGACTGTTAATCTCACTTAAAGGTCAACGGCGATAGGGGTTATCAATAAGTAACTAAAATTACTCTTACTTCCAGGAATATTATGAAATTTTCATTTGATGGGGAAAAGGTAAAAAATTAAATTAAACTATGACTGAAATACATTACAAGGAAGTCTATTATATTATTCCCGTAGTATCGTACATAGTCGGTCCACGAGTTCAATGTGTATTTATGACAGTTCGTGAGCAATGCAATCCTTAGCAAGTGACACGTGGTTTTCTATAAAGTAACGTAAACGTATGTTAAAATAAAAAAACTATACGGTGCCTTATAACAAACGTTTTATACGCTGGCACGTGGGCCGTACTGGAGACTTCATTGTCTTACTTCTTCGATTGAACTTCCGCGAAGTAGCTGAATGAAAACTCGTCGTAAATACTTTAAGAGAGGTCAAAGAGGTCCAGTTTAATTCTGCAATCTAGGAACTATTACGTTAAACCATATCCTCCTTAACGGCAGGATCCCAAAACTTTAAAACTCGTTAAGTCTTTGCTCGCAATTAACCAATCAAAAGGGCAACAATTTGCTGTGCGAAATCATCATCGCAGACTCTGCGACTTATTCTCTAGTCACTGTCAGAAGATCGAATGATCGCTTTTGCAGAGAAGAATACCGTATGAAATGATATATGACGAAGCCTTCTGGAAACGTTCAAACAGATTCTTCAAGATGTTCGATATACAACAACAACGCGTGGAATTTGATACGCGCCATATTCTTCTAAGAATTCGAGCGAAAACAACTGCGTATACGTAAATTTACTTAATGCACACATGGATATTTGCATATGACAGTTCATTATATTAATATGAATGGTGGGATCAAAAAGTTTTGACTTGTATAGAAACGAAGTGCGTTCCCCGTTAATGAATGTTTCCGACGACAATTAAGCCACTTAAAGGAATGAGTCGCTCACATGCAAACTTGCTATGTATTCGTCATAAACGTATGTATATGCTTTTGCATTTTTTTAAGAAATATTTTTAATAAAATCACGGGTAACACACAGCCGTATAAGACCGCACTAAAATCTACGAATGAACTGTTAAATGTTTAAGTTTTAAATTTTTTGAGAAATTTCTTTATTTTAGATTTTGATAATTAGACGTTAAAAATAGCGTTTCTGTATAAATTCTGCAATCGCAAGCTTGTAGTGTGTGACTATGTGACTTGAGGGGCCAATCTGTTTGCTTTTATATTTTCTTTTCGCAGTTCACATATTTTTTGTTGAATTCTTAAAAATACACTTGGATTAATCAAGAGGCGTCTGATTTAGGAACGACAGTATTAGCTATTTGCGTTTCAATCAGAACCGACTTAATCTGAAAATTCCATGGCGAAATGTCTAAACGTGATTTTGTATCGTGGATGTCGAAAACGTATCGTGGATGTTTTATTAAGTATCGAGACAACTCGTATACACATGAAAACAATGCCGATTATGATTTTGGGAAGTAGTAGAAATTCTCGAGAATTAATAACAATTTTGATTTCATCTTATACAGCGTGTCTCATTAATATCGATCAATTAAATGCATTTCTATTTCATCTTAAATTTAAACGTTTGAGTTTTTACGTTTACATTTTTTAAAATCCATTGCTAATTTTGGTTTTCTAAAAGTATCGATTTTAATCTTAGAACGATACACCAAATAATCCATAAGGCAGATGGTATACCGGGGTCATTTGTGCCTTATGCATTTTCCCAGATTTAAATTGACAATTTTAATGGATAGAAAATATTTGTATGATTTTCAAAAAAGTTTTTTTATCAAGAGAAAACATTTCGCAAACACATTTTTACCAGATGCATCATTGAGGCAATCGAAATAGGTAGGACACCCATAAATTTTGCCCAGTGGGATACAAACCCAATGCCCAGTGTATATACTTATTAATATACTCATTATACACTGAAACTTTATACATTCGAACGGTATGCCGTTCCAGGGTTAATCTAGCTAGATTTGACATACGCGATCAATGTCATAATTTCACATTAACACCACATTAGCACCACATACATACTTTTCAATAATGAACCACGCTACCTGTAGGTCAATCTAGAATTCATATGTGGTTTCCCATGACTATTTATATTTATTGAAGTCGACACGCTCATTTCGCGAGACACCATGGAATGCCTGGGATTAGTGTAAAATTCCGTTAAATTTATCGTAAAAAATCGCTTATCTGTAATCAGTTGAGTAGAACCGATCCATCTGCCAAATATATGAAGCGTGTGATTCGAATTCTTGGTTTCATGTAAAATCTTAAGAAATCGCATATATTATAATTCAATATTTATCATTTGATATGTTATCAGTCATATGATATCAATTGGTCACCATTATCGTTGCGTAAGGTCTTTTTTCCTATAGCATTTTCCTGCACTAACTTTCCCACCACCACTGGTATCCACTTGAAGCGCGTGGCATGATGCCGTGGAGAACGTACCACAATACGAGGTTTATGTTGACGTGCTAAACGGCCAGCGACGCCAGTTTCAAACGAGCTACGCTCGCGCCAACAAACACGAGCAGAACGTCTCGACGACTCGTGTCTCAAGAATTGCTTAAGGAAATAAAAGGCGGGATGTATAATAAGAGAAAGCTATAATAGAAGTAGTGAGAAGTTGATAGGAAAACAGGGAATAAATAAATTTGACAAAAATTTCATAAAACTTTTAATAGAGATTGAATTTTGACCTAGTAAAATTTTGGATTTAAAAGAAAAAAGAAAAGAGAGCATCAAGAGTGCACTTTGAAAATAAATTTTCTGCAAACCTGTCAATTAAAATAATACACAGATCAAGATACAGCTCTGACAATCATTGGGGGTTTTAAACTTTATGATAATCGAGATATCATATGTCAAATGAGATAAGAAAATTTCACGAATTTTGATTATCGGTATAAAAAGGAATTTGATCACATTATTTTCTTATTATGTTCCGTCATACCGTATTGTATTGAAAAGATCAATTTCAAATACCAGAAGTGCTTCAACATTTTTCATTTGATCAAGTCGTACCAGCACGAGTGGTGGAAGTTACGAAAGAGAAGTTAGGCGTAGTTCGTTGGCTCGCAAGATTCCTCAAAACTTTAGGTAAGACACGAATTTAATTTTCATGCAACAGTATTTTTGGCTGGTTGATTTCCTTCACTTTTCCGGGCTTCACTTGCCAAACTAATACATATTAAAACACTAGTATGATCATGAGCAGCTGTATACGCTTTGCTAATATATCAATAATGTACATTTCGATTTGAATTATAAATCTATATTGGCATGACCGTTTGCACAACTGAAAGATTATTAACACCTGATGAATACATTGGACATCGAATGCCAGACTCAAAGTTCGAGCGGATTGAAAATCAGGTATAATTAGACTCTAGAATAGATTCTCGATTCAACCATAATTTTGTTTGAACCCTTTAAAAAAGGTAGACGGCTGGCAGCGTCAGTTACTCAGTGGTATTGGTGCTAGACGTATATTTCTTAACGACCTTTGGGCATAAAATGCCCCGTGTACCTTTTTCGTTACACCAGAAGCTTCTTTGGAAAAAAAAGTTGAATTATTGTGTTGCGAACAAAAATAAATACAGCAAGTGCACATATTTAATTTTAAAGGTGTAATATTAATTTATTTATAAGTTATGACGAAAAAATTCTAAAATAATGCAATAGATTTGATTTTGTTATGAATTTAAGTATTTTCTACAAAAAAAATATGAAATATGTAATTTTAGTCATTTAAAATAATTATGATTTTTGATAAGAATCAAAAAACAATGCTACAACGTTAAGTTTCGGCTTTAAAATAGCTTTTTTATTATTTTTTCGTCGATTAGAAGGAGAGATATTGAATTTCGCCAAAAAAACGCATTTTTTTCAAATGTTCATATCTCAAACTTAAAGTAATCAAACCTAATTGAACCGGGCTTCGTTTTATGGAGAATCGCAAAAACTTTAATTTGAAAAAAATGCTCTGCATCAATTAGTAGCGAAGTTATTAAAGAAAAAAGGCGGCCGGACATTTAGTTCCGTCTGTACCCCGTAGTCTCGTGCGCGAAAAGAGATGTTTACCCATCAAAAATTAAAATACCAAACTCAATGATCTGTCATAAACACGAAAACGTGTTCCATTAATCATTATAATATAAACAACGCTCACGTGTTTAATTTGCACCTGAAGAATTTAGTTCAAAATTGATTTTAAATCTTAAAGTAAGATACGCCATATGTGCAAACAAACATTTCTACGTGTTACATGTAAATATATGACACAAGACGTCGAAGTCAGAAATATATTTTACAGCTTCGAACTAAAAAAAAAGAAGAAAAGAATTTACGGTTTCACTACTGTAATAAAGTATAGTCGCGAATGAGACTAATAATAAAGAAATGACGTACCAAAGCGCCTTGCGACCGATGTAAATTTCAAGGAAATGCTCTAGCACGTGGTGTCGCCGCCCACGCGATCCTAAACAACCTACATGTGCATATCCCGCATATATGTACAAACTGGCAGCGCGGATTATCAAATATGTTCTATGCGTACGTATGTAACTTGATCATAACCATGACCATGCTATCATAATCTATCAGTAAAAATGATCTTACTATTTGCCTGCTTCTACGCACGATTTTCGAATAAGGTTCAAGGCTCGCAACCATCGTAATAAATATGACGATAAAATCATAGATCATTTAAATTATCAACCAAGCGAAAGATTGGATAGTAGACACTCCTAGAATAATTGCGCAATTCGTCATTATCATAAATTCATGTCATAAATTAATTCTCAACATAAATCGACCGTGACCAAATAAAAAGACGTACAATTTAACTTTCATAAAAGTTTTGACAGCTGCAATAACATAATCGCGCAATTAAACGATTTTTTAATGAAAATTTAACTCCACTGCTGTAATTGATATTGTGTGTGCATCGATGACGTCACAAAAATGCAGTATCTAATAGGGACTGGAAATTCTTGGAAAATTAACCGCAGCAACGATTTAGATAACTATGACAACAGCAATTATTGGGTCGACGCTTGAGATGCGTGGCGAACATGAAACGACCGAAAGTCGAGAAGCCCGACAAGGCATATCGGTGACGAGTCAAGGCCGTTGTAAGAGTATCCCTATTGAAAGGATAGTGTAAAGTTCCGTGGACCTGCTAATTACGTATTAACGAGTAACACATGTCGGGGAGAAATGATTTTTCATGTAAAAAAATAGTTTGATCGTTATTCAATACATTAAAATATACTCAGATTTGAATAATACATATATATAAATTGATAAATAATAATAACAATTGCGTTAAAATAACTTTGAACTACCATTGCTTCGGCGCTACTTTTAGAAATAGTCTCGTACGGCTATACTGCGTAAAATAATTTTTTTACGACGAATTTAGAAATCTTTATTCTCAAAAGTTCCATTAGATAAAAAATTAATTATTAAACTAATGACTTTTTCGGGGAGACGTAAAACAACAGTCAACAACTGGATATCCATATTAAATATCTAGTCCGTATAAGTTAGTAGCTAACGACGTGAAATTAGTGCGATTTACAAAATAAGAGAATGTGAGAAAATCAAAGGAAACTTTAACGTTTCGTTGTCTGGAAAAATTGGACTCAACTGCCTTTTGCAATTGCTTGTAGACGCCAGCAGGTAATTGTCTGGCTGTATTTAGAAGTAATAAGCCGCGTGTGTGATAACGGTAATTACGTGGATAATAAGCAGGCAGGTACGTCCGTCTGGTTGTAACCCATTGGCATCTATTATTTTCTATGTTTATAACGATCGTTCACTAGGTCAATAACAAGCGGCAGGATAGATTTAAATAAAGAAAGGGTTTCAATTAATTATTAAAATATAAAAAATTAAGAATTGGAAAAAAAAATGTGATAATTACCTTGAGAGTTAAAGACAAGTTTTTTGCTAACATATGAATTTCATTTTAATCGTTAAATGTATTTCATACAAAGCAGTTTGAAACTATAGGCGGACTGGAAATTCTTCGTATCTATTAAGAGGCAGTTGAGTTGGCATCCTTCGGTTCCATTTACGTATTATCATTGAATTATTGTTAATTATTTTTACAAAGAAGCATGTTTATCTACTTAAATCGTTATATGATTCTTTATCCTTATATTGCATACTGGAATTTCCTTGTGCGCTTATTACTAATAGACTCATCCGGTTCAACTGATCCTGATGAAGAATGAAGAAGTTCAGATTTCTTTTATAACTTTCTTCGACACGTGCACCAATTTTTATCGATACTTCACGTTTGATTCATTTGTGATATATAAAAGAAAAATTATTTCCCATCATTCTATGTGGTAAACATCAACCATAACTACCGTATACTTTGGCAGAGTATAAATGAGATATTCTATTTCTTTTAGCACGCTGAATGAAGCATCACACGTAATCAGCATCGACGATTAATTTTCCATTTTTAAGCCATCATATAATTTAGCAAATATCGCATATGTGAATTACTGCACCTAAATCAATTTCTCATCGATGAGCTATATGAATTTGATAGGAGCATCAAATGCGAAATCGCTGATTTGTGGCAGTATGATCGATTCTTAAAAAAAAAGGGTAAATAAGGTTAAGAGAAAAAACTGATCGATTTAAAATGAATCAGTAACAGTCACTTGATATTTTCCTCGAGGAAAATGTAACGGCGAGAAATTTGAAATGTTTTTTTTTTTCAAAATTTCATAAATTAGATACTGATGCACGAGGCGTCTAACCTAGATAACAATATCACGAATCGTTATCTTATCCAAGTACAAGCAACGTGTTTAATCTGGATTAAAATGATATTGGCGGATTGATCTTTATCGTAGACACACGTGCAAATGATGGAAGATTGCGTCCGCGAAACACGATACGTAAGGACACAAGTGCGACTTAATGTAATCAATTGGCTGTTGAACACAAGTGCGATAAAATATTTCGATCGAATTATTAATCGATGGAATTTTATTCTTCACTTCGATAATCAAGATTACTCATATTGTCAAGAAGACCTTTCTATCGTTGTTTACGATAAACAGTACGTTAACACCTATTAATATGGTACTAAACTGTACCAGATCGCGAATCGGTATAAAGTGCAAAATCGTTCGAGCACTTTTTCCAGCTTATACACACGTTCCACGCGGTACGTAGTAGTCGTAGTAGAAACTACGTGCAAATAATAGCGAGGGAACAGTTTATCAGTAACAAAGTGAAAAACGCGTGTTATAAGTACCGATAAATAAACTATAGTCAGATAAGTGATATGAAAATAATTCTTTTAAATTATCTGACAAACGTGATAAAATGTTAGTACACTGTCGCGAAAATAAATTCACGAGTGTCCTCAGCATAAACATATCAATTTTTCAAGACAACTCTTCACGCATTCTTAATATTACTCATCGAGAGATGCAATTATTATTTTTTTTTCTTCATCGGTACGTTCACGCTTCGCGACCTTCCTCGTCATTCTCACATGGAGAAACGTTTGCTATGTTGCAGAAAGTGCATTTGTATGACTTGACTGGGAAGCCTTGTTCTTCGTGGAGGAAAACAGACGCCGTAAAAAGAATCGAAAATACCTGAGTCGGAGGAGCAGCGATATGAAGGAAACGCAAATCAACGGATATGGTATGTTGTCGTATATATATATTTTTATTCATTGTTCCCTACGCGCCATTCTTTCAAAGAATCGTTCTCTCGTTCGTTTATTCATTCAAAAATTTTGAATCTTGTCAAAACTCATGAATCATTCCAGCGCCGAATGTTACAGCGCAAGGCTGCACGTCAGAGACATTCACGGAATGTACCGCGAGACGCTTACCGCTATTTACAGATCGACACTGCGCTGACCTTTTGTATTCCTTCAAAAGGAATCGCAATCAGCGCCATTCACGTCGAAGGTTGATTTCTCGAAGGTTTAACGAAAGTTGCTCAATGCACTTTTTACGAAGTCGACCAAGGTAGAGCAGTGAAGGTATTAAGTCGCCCTATGAACGATCTACGAATATTATATAAATAATTATCATACGCAGTTGCACATAGCTATGCTGCTATACTGTAGTCTACAAGGGATGGGATAATCTGCTAGTGTAGTAGCCGTGGTTATTCGATAAACATTTGAACTAAGGACTTTTATCATGTTGACATTGACTGATCAAGAAAATCTTGTATGGATAGGCTTTGAGTCAAAACATTTATTTGAATTACCATACAAGAGAGTTATGCTATTAAGTAGCAGTGTTTCATGCGTGAGATATTTTTCTGATGCAATATCTAAGCAACGTTTTGTCATCTCAATGATAACTTTGTCCTTACAATTTCCTTTTATATTTATCAATTAACGTAACTGGATTTATTTTGAGATCGACGATTATTGCCCTAGTTAAAAATCTAACCGTTACGGCGCTGCATTCGTGTAAATGTACTCTCGTATCAATTGCTTCAAGTAAATTGCACTTTTAAGCCTGCATTCGCAGTCGGTTCATTATCTTAAGCATCATCTTAAGTCGTAATATACTTTGTATTAGGACGGTGCGTCTGCTTCGTCTGAAGCGCAGACTATGGACAGTGACTTTAGAATTTAATGTTCCGAACTACCGAAAAACATTGGGTAACGTCAAAAGTTATGAGCGCACTTTCCACTTCGGTGTACAGTACACATATACGTCTATCGTAAGTTCAAAGCTCACAAGGGCAACGCATGCGTACAAAGTTCAAAGATAGACGAGAGAGCGAGGGAGATGAAATTATCAAGCAGACAGTTACAATACCCTCGTGACGGAATTTAATTCCCGAGGATTCGCACGGTATCAAAAAGTGGCGTCGATCTTTTTGCGCCGTGTTGCTACGCCCCTGTGACGTCTTGCACTTTCGTCCAATGATAACGTTCGCTTTCACGTACACCCACTTGTTGCGCAAGGGAATGCTCGAAGGCCTCCTGACGTCAGGGACACTCCTCTTGTATTGGTGGGGAATCCAGTCGAGCTATCCAAGAGTAAGATTACGATAGTAAACAGATTAATTGAACGCAAAGCAATTGAATCGCGTCTTACGTGTCTTTCGCAATCCAATTAACGAATATCTAGCAAATACATGACTCCCAATATGACGCGTTATATCCGTTTAGGAATTGTGCTTCTTGTGTACACTGGAGATCAAATGAGAGATCGAATTAATTTCATGGATTGTTTAGCGACTTACATTGTTTCCTATTGTGAGTTTGGCGGGACATTTGAATTGTTTGAAGAAAGACTGTTGCTAATAGTATACTATAGTGATTGACAGATTCACATTACTATTTATTGTTTTTTATGTAATTTGCCCCTATGTGAGTAACTGATGTACCTGTTTATACGTGTATCTAAGTAAATTAATTGATCTATATAACTGTTTAGATTTTCTTGAATTTAGTCAAGGATCTAACTATTTTTTGCCTTCCTTACGCCTGTGAATGATATTCCGAATGTTTTTTTACTTCGACTTGGTAAACGTCTTGATGCATTTTTTAAACTCATATTGAAATATATTTACGAGCTGTTTTCGCATTAATTTTAATTTTCGAACGGTGCAGTATGAAACTTGAAAAAACAATAATATCACTTTGTCATCTGGTTTTTTTCCCTTCTTTCAAGTGGCGCCAGCGCAATGTTTTCTGTTCTTGTTTCGACAGCGCTGATCATCTCTTCTTACGCTTGTGGTTTCGTTGTACACAATGAGATTATCTAGATGGCACATAAAAAAAAGAAACTAGTTAAATTACTTTTGTATCTCGATTGCCGAACTTGGATATGAACTTGATCTTGATGTTAATGTACTGAACTCAGAAAGCTAATAAATGATATTTTTATCCCTAGGACACTGTAAATAGTAATAGTAGTAAATTTATCATGACTATCGATAGCTTCTTAAAGATTTTAATCGAGGCTAAATAAAAGTAGAAAATTTTAACGATTGCACAATGGCTTGATATTATCAGATTTTGTGAGTTATAAAAAACTTGATTACCGATATAAAAGATAATTTTTATACATAAAAATATCAAGTTATTCATTCACACATTTTATCAGTTGTCTCTGACTCAAGCGAATACATTTACATCGTAATCATTAAAGGTAAAAATCTCTAATCAGCCGATACCCATTGCACCATTTCGAAAAGCAAAACCATGCAAATTATTTCGAAGAAAATATAATATATTTATTTGACATATTAAGAAACACCCGTCTCCTATAATATGATTGAATGGAGAAGTTCAATAATCTAACTAGCACGTTTTAATTGCTAGATTGGGTTAACCTTCGTCTAAGATCTCTATGACGTTTTTCTCGGACTGATTGGTCGATTAACTCGATAAGAGGTCACGTATATCAGTTCACATTGGCGGCTCGATTCATCCTCGGTACATGCCAATAAACTTCAGAAAAGACCTTTTAAACATGACCACTGTAGTTTATAATGACTAGACTGGCAGCTATCAAGGACTTTGTGCATTATGTGTATTGACTTGTTGTCTTTTGAGTGAATATGCATAAAAGGCCTTGGTCTAATGAAAATGAAGTCTAGACGATTAATAATCGTACGTCTTGGAAGATTATTAAGAATTGAAAAACAGGAAACAAACAGACATACATATACAGGTTGGGACATTTATAGTGATCAGATGGTTTTTTTTCGGAAACGATGCCATATATAAAAAAAAAATTTCAGACTGAAGTTGTAGGGTTTCAAGGAGGACGAAAGATTCCGTTATTGAATTCCTTCCTGAGTGCAGGGGTTAAGGTAATTCGAAGGTCTACTTTCAATTTTTCCATGGGATGATGCAATGTTTTTTCCGGAAATCAAAAGAGCATCCACTTTTGAGTCTTAAAGTACAAGTACCCTAATGTCCCAAAACTGGCAGGTGATAAGATATTTTAAAAGTAAAATGTAATATCCGTTTTCTACATTAGCTGGAATCTACTATCTAGTGTTCCCTGTCTCTCATCCTCCTTCCCATTTGAGGTCACTATAAATGTCCCACCTTGTATATTGTATTGATTGAAAATTGAATGATATTATTGAATGATAATTTAATTGAATGATAGATTTAATAGTACTGGTGGTTAATGGCAATTAGTCGATTATAATTATTACGCATAACTTTGTATTGACTGTGAGTAAAGATTTCATTCGAAGTAAATCTTGACTAAACTTTTATAATTACACATGACAATGACAATACTTAATGCAAAAACGGGTTACAGTTAACATTAGCATTGACGTTGCGAGCGAACAGGGTAACGTCGCATATTGATGTATGATAATAGATTATTTTCCTGTGCAGACAGCCGTGTCAAGATATCAACTAGTTGACAATCAATATTCAACGAAATTACAAGTGGAGTAGAAAATGTACATACATATATGTAAGGCATACAATGCTATACAGTAATAATATACAATAATAATACTAAGTGTCTAAACGAAATAATGTAATACGAAAGGGACGTTCATTTAAATAGGTTCTATACGTGCTGCTAGAAATGTTGCACGGTAAGACAAGATATAGAGTCTCCTGTCAGGAAAAACGAAATAACAAAGAAAGTAAAAGAACAACAAAATTGTAACTGCTAATGTTCGTAGTACCTCTAGGCACATTGGTCGGACGGGAACCTGGTGTCGTGTACATACCTACTGAGAAGCCGGTCAATTATTTATATCACGCAGAAGAATGCAAATAGAAAATTTATACTAAAAATAATCGGAAGACTCATGTTGTCATTACTCATTACAGGAGACGTGCACGAGAAGGAGAAAAATGGGTGTCATATCGCAAACGAAAAAGACGTCGAGGCTGTTGAACATGAAGAGGTCGATGCGGTTCAAGAGGCTATGGGAAACTTTGGCAGGTGGCAACTCTTAGTGTGTGTTGCTATTTCATTGGTCAAGTTTCCCGTAGCTTGGCATCAATTGGCCATTGTCTTTATGGCGCCAAAGCAGAGTTTTAATTGCACTGCCCCTTCGCACTCTGAAACGAAAGATCAGTGTTTGGTTAATTTCAACGGTACTCTGACAGAGTGTACCGAATGGGAATTTGACAGAAGTATATTTCCGGAAACGATAATATCACAGGTAAAATAATAAATAATTATTAACGTACTTAAATATGTTGAATTATAAGTTTGACGGATCAATTGTTATTAAATGATACCACTTTTTTTATTGTTCGCAGTGGAGTCTAGTATGCCACAGGTCGCATTATGCAAATATCCAACAGTCTGTATTAATGTTTGGAGTTTTACTTGGAAATATTTTCTTTGGCAGCTTGGCTGACAGGTAAGATATTTGACAATTTTGTACTTGACTCAGTAGATTGTGCCAAGACGATAAGGATTGTTTTTGTTTGAATTGCAGATATGGAAGAAAAATACCATTGATGATATCTGTGGTTCTACAGATTGTTTCTGGAATAGGCTGCGCTATTGTTCCATGGTTTCCGGCTCTGTTGATACTGAAGTTACTCAGCGCCATGGCTACGGGTGGAACAATGGTCACCAGTTATGTCATCTGTGAGTTTGAGAGATTTTAATATGTCATTTATCATTGAGTCAATCGTTTATCATTAAATTAAGTTTTAATATGCAATCGTTGAAATTTATAGGTATGGAAATTGTTGGCAGCAAATGGCGTGCGGCCATCACGGTTTTATACCAGATTCCATATAGTTTAGGTCATATGACACTGTCAGGCCTTTCTTTCTGGTTCCGTCATTGGCAGCATCTTCAATTAGCCATTACCATACCGTCCATACTGCTTCTTGGGTACTGGTGGGTTGTGCCGGAATCACCCAGGTGGCTGATAGCTGTAGGAAAACAAAGAGCAGCTTGTAAGATTTTGCAAAAGGCTGCCAATGTAAATAAAGTTAAAAGCAAAGACATTCCTGACATGGTCAGGAAGCACTGTCTTCATCAGGTAATACTACGTGGGATATTGGAGAAGTATTTTTAACCCTTTGTGGACGGAACTTTCAGACATCCTAGCGTCCACCTGAACCGAGTGATTTGAGATGATATGACTCGTGAACTGATAACGACTTAGTTCCTTCAGAGAAAGATCAAACTAATAGACAGTGCAAAGTCCGGAATGGAAATAAGATTTGGGCAATTGTCCGTAGACACGCGTCCTCAAAGGGTTAATAGCGATATTGATTTTTGATAATCAAGAATTTTCATAACGATACGTTATTTTCTTGAATTTCTTTCAGAACTCAAAACGCACGGCGTCCGATCACAAAGCGTCTTTTCCGGATCTCTTTAGGACGCCTAACATGAGGATCAAATCTCTAGCAATATTCTTCAATTGGCTTGTATGCGGAATGGGTCTGTTTGGTATGACTCAGTACATAGGTCAAGTAGGGGGAGACATATTTGTCAATTTTGCCGTTTCCGGTGCTATTCAGATACCTGGTAATTTTCTTTCTTGGTGGGCCATGAGTACACTAGGAAGAAAAATTACATTAATCTCTAGCAATACCACAGCAGGCATTGCTAGCCTCTTACTAGTGATGGTTTCAGCAGGTACTTACCACGAGATACATCAAATTACTGCATTAGTCAAAATCAAATGAAACTAGCAATTTTTACACTCAAACCTTTTGTGCCTTTCAGAAACTGCATGGCTAAGGCTATTATTAGCCTGCTTTGGTATAGTAGGAATGTCCGTATCATTTACCACAGTTTACCTATTCTCTGGAGAATTATTCCCAACTGTTGTAAGAAATATTGGAGTTGGAACAAGCAGTATGTGCGCCAGAATAGGTTCCATGGTAGCACCATTCGTAGTGTCCCTGGTAAGAAGAAATGTAGAATGAATGTTTTTTATTTTTTTTTATTTATTTTTTTTACAAAACAACAAACTTAGTTCAAGACACTAATATTTCCAAATTTTATTAGGGCTTGATTAAAGGATGGCTGCCACCTATAGTTTTTGGAACTCTTCCATTGATGGGCGCAGTTCTGTGTTTCTTTTTACCGGAAACGACAGGATGCACGTTACCGGAAACTCTTCAGGACGGTGAGGATTTCGGAAAGAAGCAAAAGAAGTCCAAAAAACAGAAAGAAGCAGAGGCGGAAGCCGTGCTCTGAATAAAAATAACCGGATGATAGATTTGGTGTTTAAAAAAAAAAGCCACGAGGAGAGTATAATTATGAGAACTGATCAGAGAACCAAAATGAATGAATAGTTAGAAATTACTGCGATCATTCCGCATTATTATTTATTACATCACATAAGCCTGACGATATTAAGACCGAATCGCTGTACAGAAATATTTGTATCAGTTATATACAGCGCCTGTACAGACTTATACATGACTTGCGCAGACGCATGGATAACACTTTGTAAGTAGAATAAGATCAAATAAAATTGAAAAAAAAAAATGAAAAGTAACGTGTACGGCAATTCGTGGAAATTTTTCCAGCGCCATAATAAATTGTATTGCATAATAAAATATGCATAATTTACGTCTAAGTAAAAATTTTATAAAATAGAGAATCGTAATACTTATTGAATACCGCTGCCATTGTAATACGTGCACACGTTTATGTTTATGTTATGTGCAACGTCAATGTTTTATGTAAATAAATGTCTTGTTTTATAAAACGAAAAATCAATTCTGTATCTTTATTTACAATTAGCTGTCTGCTGATTAACATGCCCTGACATTTTTATGATTCACTTGTCAGTGAATTTTGTCAGTCTTCATGGTCAATGACTTTTAATGTCTCCGATGGTACTATCCTATCTGTTAGTGGCAGCAGACTAATTTTTATACGATACACAATCTGAGGACTTCGATGCTTACTCTTCGTTTGATTTATACTTTCAATGTTCATATAGAAATTTTTATAATTTCATATTAGTCATACCTACATGATGACAATAAATTGTATAGTAAATATCACTAATAGCATGCTGCGATGTAACAACGGGATACAATTATACTTCCCAGAACTCTTCGATAATCGTTCATTGATAATTATCGGTTACGGAGAGTGAAATTAACTAAGAAAATTCATGACCATGATAACCATTGGAAATTAGAGAGACAAAACAAAGAATGAAATATTTTTATTATTAAATTGTTGCTGACAAAACTCACAGCATTGTTTCCCACTGACAATTTGACCTGACTCTTTTCAAGTTTAGAACAAAACTGTCAGCGTTGTGTAATATGCCATTATGTCTATTGTCGATCCAAACGGAAATGAATACATTGAACAATAACTCAGTACACCCGTCCCTACATTTACGCGTTACTTTTTTTACGCGAGGCTCTTTTCACGCGGTTTTTTTAAAATGCGATGTCAATTTGCGCGATCTGAATTTATGCAACCAAAAAATATATTTTTTTGGAATTTTTAAAAGTACGTAACAAGTAAACTGTTTGATTCCTACAAGCTGGTTATCATTATTCAACGATTTGTAAAACGTGTATCAGTTTCTCTTTCCGATATTTTGTTTTCTTTTGTACTGACCATCTCCACGCAATTGTCATTTGCGTAAAACGGATCCACGTGGAACGAATACTGCGTATAAATGGAGGCACGGGTGTACGGAATTCAACTAAATTAGCATATCTGATAATAACAAAATTAGAAGTCACTAAAAAAGTAATTAGTGTTAATCAAAGGGTAAATTTATTCTTAAAGGGATTTAAAAGTAATTTTTAGCAATATAAACATATGAAATTTCATATTTTATTTAATTGTAAAAGTACTAAGTATCTTATGGTAACATTGATAAACCTCGTAGTAAAGCATACTTTCGTTTGCAAATCATACAAATAAAAAAAAACATTAACCCCTAAACGCCAAAGTGGACATCAGTATGTGTTCACTTTGATTATGAAACTTCCTATGTTCAATACGAGATTTCTTGATGAAACTTGGTATATTAATTGTCTATTCACGAGACGCACACTTCGTAGTACGAGGCTCAATAATTTTTCTATGCCAACAAAGAAATCCTTAAATATCCAAAAATGGGAACTTTGGATATCTTGGGGATATCCAGTGGATATTCACTTTGGGTATCGTGGACATCCTATGGATATAAAATGCTGTGTGGGTGGGGGTTTTGTAATGATAATTTTATTTACAGAATTTTCTTTCCACTACGTACATTTTATTATACGTACTTAACAATTAGATCTTCAGAAAAGCACAGAAAATGTATTTTATGAATACTAAAAATTTATAAGAATCTCTACAATGTTATTATTTTCAAAAAGAAAAAGATGTTTTCCAATTGATAACAGTTGAAAAGATTATAAAAACGTTTATGACAACAAGAGAAATTACTATTTTACTATTTTATTTTATTATACTATTTTAAATATCGTATTTTTCACCTCAAATTTGTAATCAGTGACATCAATAATCCCTATATATTCAGTTTCATTGAGAAATACTATTTGGAACATTATTATCTTCATAATCAAAATGAACGCATACTGATGTTAACTTCTGTGTTAACTGGTTAACCGCAATAATACATTTTACGAATTTAGAGTTTTACAGATATATAGGTTGTCATTTTTAATAGATCGACTTTATACGACAATTTATTAAAAATAAATTATTAATATAAATTAACCGATTTACAAATAATACCAACAATACAATCATCTACCATTATTACTTGCCTGAAGGAATTAAATATTAAACTAAAAGAAAAACTAAACATAAACCAAAAAAACAAATTTTCTGATAATTACAAGATTTCAGGACCAGGGAACAATGTCAAATAAAAGTATCTACATATAGTATATTTTCAAAATAGTACATTACAATACAAGTGCGCAAAGTAGATGATTCCAGCAAGAGTCGGGTTTGTCGCCCGAGCGTAGCGAGGGTGACAACAAACGAGTGTAGGAGACACCTATGCGCACGTGTATCGTAATGTTATTTTCCTAACAAGCTGCGTAAAATTCGATTTTACACACGCGTTTGACAGTGCAGGAATGAGGCATTTTGCGCACGCAAATCCGTGAGCAAAATCGAATTTTGTGCACGCTGTTAGGAAAAAGTATTACTAACACACTCTCGGTAACAGGAGTTAGAGTTAACCGGGTATAAATGTAGCTTGGAGAACTATAGCGTCATTCCGAGTCGCACCGTTCACCAGAAGGCCGGTTCCCCAGCACGAACCAGTAAGTATTCTCTAACATGTTATTTTGCATACAAGTACAATATTTATCATAAATAATATTTTTACATCGGATATATATTTAAGACAAATTTTTTAAGATGACTTTAGGAATTACCCAATCATCATTTCTTTACTGTCGAAAGTTTTTGAATGATCTTACAAAGACGTTGCTTCGATGATTGAAAATACGTGTTAGGTGTAACCGGTTTTACGGTTTACTCTTTATTCCCATACAGCGCATAAACTTACTGTAACATGGCACAATGCTTGAAATCTTACATTACATTATTGTAATGTTTTTGAATTATTTCCTACATCTTCTATTGCTATATATTGTACATAATATTTCTTACACATAGTCGGTAAATTATATTGTAATATTGCATAAAATGTTGGTAGTATTTATTAGATATATTGCAATGCAATTTTTAGCTATACTTAATTCACAATTATAATACAGTCATATTATAGAAATTACGTCTAATTGGTTCTAGAATAGACTGCGGTAGTCAAAAGCAGGTAAATCGGAGGCCTGGTGACACAGAGTGTAACCAGGAAGAGCAAAAAAGGAAGAGCAAAAAATGAGGATACGTTCTGAAATCCACGGTACACTAATACTATAGACATGTTCATGTCTCACTCAATTGCATGCTAATAGAAAAGGACGCAAAGATATATGTGATAATGGTAGAGAATTTCAAAACGTACCCGTATAAATATAACTCCTTAATATTGCCGTAATCTCGCTAAAACATTTGCCTGGAAAATATTCGAAATGTTAAACATATTTCGAATTTTTTTTTTTTTAGAAATAGCAATGTTGTCACTAGGTTTCTGCGGCATATTCGCAATAGTAGTAATCTTGGAAAGTAATATTTTTACAATATTGATGCAATATATACTGTGGGGAATCAAAATTCACGTGATTGTACAAGGTGACAGTGGGAGAAGGTACTACGAATGCGTGAACTTAATTTCCACATGTTAAACTTGGTCTATGATTTTTCGAAAGTTTTCTGGAACTTAACCAAAAGATGAAACTACGTTGGGTGACAGTCGATTTCTCCTGTCACTTTACACGTGACTTTTATACATCACAGGAACGTGAGTTAAAGTCATGCGAAATTACTGAAACTAGTATTCAGTAATATTAATACTAAACATACCGACAATTTTTTATAAACGTATTTTTGGCTTTGAAAGGGCCAATGGACCAGTCGATGGTACGTTTAGTGTTAATAATGAGTTCCACGAGGTAAAAGCTGTTTAAGGTGTATAAAAATTTTAAAAAATCATTTTGACAGCAACCATAATAGATACCGTAAAATCAATAGCTCGAAGTTTTACTTAAAAATAATTTAATTATTATATCAAATAATAATCTCCCAAGAACATTTTTTTTAGCAATAACTATTCATAATTAATACAATACTCTGCACAGTATTTCGCACTAATATTTCAAACTCGGATAACATGCAGAAATTTTATTTTTCCAAATTCCCTAATTGCATTTTTAATCTAATTTATACTCTGTTTTACACGTCTGTTTATTTCGCTCTATATAGATATAGTTCTCTTGGATATTATATCGCATTGCAACATATATATAGTTAAACCTACCATATCGGAACGAAGGACCGTATGAAAGGACAATGATCTCCACTCTGTTCCCACAGTCAATACAAACGAGTATAGGTGCAGATACTGCGCAAGAGATCCGCTACGAGCCCCTGGGCTTATTCTGCCACATGATTAAACATCGATAACCTTAAGGCTGCGGTCCAAGTACATAAAAAAAAAGAAATAGAAATAACGGTCCTTCAAACCTTAAACGAGGCCAAATCAATATGATTCAATGATCAACTGGATCACAGGAAATCATTAGAATATTTTTTTTCAAAAAAATCTTAATTAATCTAAAATACACTAAGTACAGTATCGAGTACAGTGCGGATGACATATATAAAAATTATATACAAACAGCCATAAAAATAGTCAAAGTATAGTATATAAAAGTATAATCAACGTCGTCAATACCGGAACCAATGAAAATGACTTTGAAGGTTTAATTTTGTGCACGACAGTCGTTCGCTCCATGAAAACTCAATTAGGCTCCTGTTTATTTAGCAAATGCAAAATGACAAAGACGTCCTTGTTCTACGTCCTAAGAGATTTCTCGAATCTACAACCATGACAATAAGTGCCAACGTTTAATTCTGGGTCTCAAAAGTCCTTAAGACTCTCCTTTCTGTACACGTGGGCGAATTTAACAGTTGGAAAGAAATGTAAAGTAACGTTACGTTGAGCGTACCAAGTTTTAAGCATGTCGAGCCGAAAAGAATTAAATCAGGAATTGATAAGGAGAATTCAAAAAATATAAATACCGTATCTGCTCTGTTTGTAGTGTCAGTCGGAACGAGCGTATTTTTGACACTGCTGAGTTTGACAGCAACTGTCAACTGTCATTCCTTCGAAACCGTTTATTCCTGGAAAGAGATTGACTTCAATTTCCCAAATGACTCTATTCGTCAGGAGTACACAGCATCCGGCGATTACATACAGAAGAACAATGCCCCGGTTGGTATAAATATTTGGAGAAACAAGTTATTCGTTACGGTACCAAGATGGAAGAAAGGAGTGCCGGCTAATTTGAATTACATTGACTTGAGTCAGACTGAAAATATTGGTAGGTTGAATTACATTAGAAAATATTTTAAAAATTTATATAGATGCTAATATTCAATGTTTAATATATTATTAGAAATGTCACCTGCCCTGACGCCCTATCCTGACTGGGACACAAATGACATCCATTCATCGTCATCGAACGCTATAGTCAGTATCTTTCGTGTTAGAGTGGACAAGTGTAATAGACTTTGGGGTCTTGATACTGGGATCGATGACATCGTAGGAGATAATAACGTAGTGGCGCCACCTACTCTTATAGTAATCGACTTGACGACCGATAAGGTAATGACTTTTAAATTGACAGATATAAAACGCATCACTCTTATGTACTTAATTACACTTGTCAACGTAAAATCACGGTTTATCCAACAGATAATACGAAGATATCCATTGAAAGATTCGGATCAGAAAGCCGATTCATTCTTCGCTGACATGGTAGTCGACGTCGAAGCTGATTCCTGCGACAATGCATACGCTTATATTTCTGATCTGGGTGGATACGGACTTGTAGTTTACAGCTGGGCCGAGAATAACTCCTGGCGAGTCAGTCATAATTACTTTTACTTTGATCCACTCCAAGGTGGGTATTTAATTAATATTGTTATTTGCTACATATACAATGATGATAAATTGCTTAATAATTAATTAACGTATAGGTGACTACAACGTGAATGGTATTAATTTCCAATGGACCGATGGGATCTTTGGACTCTCTTTGAGCGAAAAGCAACAACCTCTTGGCTATAAAACGTTGTATTTCCATGCAATGTCGGGCATCACGGAATTTGAAGTTTCGACAATAATATTGAAAAATGAAACAACGGCTACGTCAAGCAATAATTATTATGACTTTGAAGTAGCTGGTATTAAAGGTGAATTGACACAGGGTCCATCATGCGTCATAGATACCGAGACTGGAATTGATTACTTTACGCACGTTAATAGAAATGGAATTGGTTGTTGGGATACGAGTGTCAAGCTGACACCAGATACTTTCCGTAAGTCTTATTAACCCGGCGGCGTCTACGTCACAAAAAGGAATGCCGTATTTTCTACATGGGTCAGCAAGGTCAGACTAGAGGTCTATGGGTTTATTTAATGTAACCAAAATATTAAGGGATTTATCTGGGATTTATGGTATTTAAAGAACATTTTAAGAGTAGTGAATTAAATTATTCAAATTTGAAAATGCTCAGATCCTCTGTGACCCGACGTAGACGACGCCCGATTAAAATGCTTAGTAATTGAATTTGAATCTTATTCACGGCTCTTTGCAGATATACTGGCTGAGGATGCGGAGAAACTTCGTTTCCCTAATGATCTGGCTATCCGGTCAGAAAATCGAAAACTATATGTTTTAGCCGATAATTTCGCAGAATTTCTTAACTTGGATATAAGTTTAAGAGAAACCAATTACGTCATAACTGCAGCAAGTTTGGACACTTTGGCAAATGAGTGCAAATGTCAAAGTTATTAATGCTTTGTTTCATATGTAATACTGAATCCGGTATACATTCATTAATAATTCATTAGTGTACAAAAGAATGTTGGTTCAATAACTGTTGTGAAGTCTTTTCAATAAATCAGTTAAAAAATAACGAAGCAATATCCTTTTATCATACTCGATACTTATGAGTTATGACACTATCCGTGATAAGGATGTTGCTAAATGTTGAAGTCAATGTTAAAAAAAAAATAAAAATATAGAATCAAAAGCAATATAAGTTAGTGGGTTCTGGACCAGGATTCCTGCACCGACATTTACCGACACTTCGAGAGCCCTCGAAGGTTCGCATCCGTGCTAAATCGACGAGGTAAACTCTCCTGATTTCAAGGAGTGACGTCACGAGGATTCCACAATTCCATGAATCAAAGGTTGATTCCAAGAATATCATCACCGATTCCATGAATCGTACACGATCGAGAATCTCCTCGAACATTCTAGAAGGTCCTGGAAGCTCCTAAAGTCTTCGACAGTCCGTGTTCGTGATAAATCGAGCAGGACTTCTCTCAGAATCGGCGGTCCTCTCGCACCACGTTTTGAGGTAGCCCCTTGTCCCTTGATCCCGAAAAACCAACAACAAGCTTCAAAGATTCTATTCCTCCCCAACCCCGCGCAGGTTCGTTAAACCTTTGGTATCCAGCATAGTTCTATAGTTCCTGATCGTTTTTAACAATAGTTCTGGTCATTAATAAAAGATTTTTTAAAAATCGACAGTTACGTAAAATGAGATGACAACTTCACGTCCAGCGATGACAAAGAGGTCAGCATCTTATGTGCTGGAATCCAAAAATACGTATGGAGTTCCATTCGCATTCCGCTTAGTTCTATAAATGCAGATGGATCTTAGTAATAATTCTGATATGTAGAAAGGGTCGGAGTAAACGTCAGGTGAATAGCGCGGAATACACAGAACAAGTAATCGGGAGCGTAGCAGCGCGAATCGGAGGTATAAAATCGAAACCCCTCCACCAATTATTAAATTGGGAGTACTCAACGGAACTGGTACAGCTGATACGGGAAGTCCAAGAACTGCATCCAGCGGAAACTCAGGTGGGCACTGCACTATAGTACAACACTGCACCTCCGAAATACGCGCAGAAAATCGATAGGATTTTCTGGATATAGCGAGCCAGTTAGAGGCACCTTGATCGGTCTCTCAAGAGAGACTGCTTTAAAGCAGTCAGTTGGTAATAGTTAAATTTGAGAACTAATCATTTGATTGATCGAGATCCTCATAACCGATGACATTTATACTTTCCCTTGAGTCGTCCCTTTAAACTAAATCGAGAGCGTTCCTTAGTGAATCGGTACGTAACAACTGGAATTCCTCCGCGTTCGTTTCCCCAGGGTATTGGGCGGCAGCCCGACCCCCAAAATCATAACTCGGATCAGCAGGGGGTCCCTTCCCTTAACCGTATCAAAAACCTTATCTCCGGCCGCTCTACAGCCCTTTGCCACTCTCCAGCGAGGCGCCGGCATCTCACCAGAGCTTTGACGGTCCGTGAACACGTCTCCGTCGGGTACTCTCCTCTGCCTGGCAACTCGGTACGTCGAGACTATTCCTTCACGGCAGATTCGAGCACCTCAACCTCAAATAAACAGTAAGAAATCTTTCGGGAGCATTGGCGTAATTGTACGAATCAATCCGAGAGCGTAGCTTCTGAGCAGGGTGGCGACCCAAAAGGAACCAGAAACCGAGAACGTTATTTGAATCGATAGGTGGGGTCGCCTTGTGACCGTGAGTCAAAAAATCACCTCACAACTTATAATGTTAATTAGGAGCTGAAGTTAGCTCAGCCATTCGATCTCTACGCTAGAACCATATTCAGACTGTTCAATATACTTTTCGAATGCTTATTTCTAATTCTCTGCACATATGTGAGTGAATAATTAAAGCAAATAAATATTAATTAAACAAGAATTTATAAAGCCAACTTCAACGGAAAAAAAAATAGAAAACGATTCATTACTAAATTTTACGGTAGAAATCTTAGAAATCTTCAGAAAAACAGAAAAAGTCACAGTGTTTTTTGTGTCTGACTTTAAAGGTATGAAAAGTAGTGCGCTTCACGGTAAAATTGAATGTAGCGCACAAGATAATTCGGCTGTTTTAGATGACTTTTTAAATTCAACAAGGTAAAAGCTATAGTTTTACACTAAATATTTTCAAGTTTCAACATTTTTACCGTACACTTTAGTAAAAGCTGACGTGTTATACTTACTTTTTATTGGTATATTTTCGTGAGTTGCTTTTAAATATATAGGCAATGTGTTATGAAATACCATGAAGTCTCGTGATTATCGTGAGTCTTACCATAATTTTTAATGAAAAATTCTCTCCGCGTATAACCCAAAGATCTAAAAAAAATTGATCTTCAAGAAAAATATTGATCCAATACATATTTTTTCATTTTAGATAAATTTGACATCATTATCTATACATCGTCTATTAATGGACGGAGGTTCTCTCATGTAATTAAGAGTCAAAAAAACCAGACACCTCATGACGTAGAGTATGTATAATGCACTAATTTCATTAAAAGTTTCACAGCAGTCCCAAAATCCCATAACGCCCTTAAATCTTAAAAACACAGTACATACCTAGTCGGTAAAGAAAGTTTAAAGAGAACCAGACATCGGTAATAGCGCCAACTACAAAAGATCTTACAGGCGAAAGGTAAAGACAATGGGAAACTTGTATAGATGGCGACACTGGCTCCCCACCAATCTTATAGAGTTAAAGAGAACATGACGGGAAGCCTATATTCAGGAGTACATATTAAAGAGGGTTGAATGTCCCCAGAATCAAAGGTGCACTAGCATGTACGAAGACGTATTAGTTTCAAACGTTGCTACATGGATGAATAAAGAGTAGTGGTGGGTCATGGGTCTATGATTAGCAAAATGTACCTATCGTATATGGAAAGCGCAAACGAGAAGAAAAGTTCCTTCGTATCAATTACGTTTAAGACGGCATTCCATTTTTTTTAACACAAGATCAAGCCGAGCGCTGGTTATAAGGATGCCTTGTGAGTATATGGACCTGATTGCACCGGTTCTGTAGGACTAGTTAACTTGCACATATGAGTATCGTGCGTGCTAGGCTCATTCTTAGTACGGAGTACCAGTGCATCTCTACTTTTGCACGAAATGGCATCGTAAAAGATCATCAGGATCATTTCTTAAGGTACCAAAAGACTGGTTCGACTATTTAAGATTAATCATATAAAAGAAGATAATTTCATGTTACTTTTTAGATTTGCTGTACGATTTTGAGGATTTCCTTATTTTTCTGTAATTTTATTATTATAGAAATTATTGGACGTTGAAAATGTTTGGTAATTGATAAAATTTTTGAGATCATTGATATTCATTGCGTGTCAGAGGCTGCAAAGGAGTAAGTATTCACTTCAGTAGTGAATGCAACATTGTGACAGTCGAGAAAACAATAGGCGTCTTCTTCGTGATCGACGTAATTATAGGAAAAGGATATTATTCAAATAGGATTTCTCAACAACTATTGGCCATCGTATAGTAATCACAGGATCAACATTGGGGCCAGCTAATATCCGCCATGGATCCAGGATGTTACTTAAGCAAAAGAAGTCTCGTGGTCGGATCGTAATGGTGCCGTGCGAAAATTTAAGATTGGTTGACTTACTGATAGATTGACGAATGATCTAAAATCATTTGATGATTCCGGCATTTCGTTCAAGGATAAAGTCCCACGGAAGAGTCACGTTCACCATACCAAATTTCGCAATTGAGCCCTCCTATCTGAATCTACGCGTAAGACTTAAGTACCCATTACCTTTTTCTTACAAGGCTATTTATTATAAATACGTTTGAAAAAAATTCAACATTCTTAACCTGTGATTCCTCGTATCATCTTCAATGTCCAAAACAATTAATGGGCATGCCGTCTCTATAGTAGGTGAAGCCGCCATTGCTCACGCACACGCGTGTCATTAAACTGACTGTATAGACTGTCCTTAATAACTAGTGCTGGCAAAAGTGAATCGCGAGGTAGACGTTGGCTATTATTGCGAGAACAGGACGACGAAGCGCCATGCCGGAAATAGAGAAGCTAAATAATAAACTTCACTTTTACAGTCAGTAACCTGAATATATACATATACACGTCAGAGACCTGCAAGGCAAAAGTGGCCAGGATGTCGCTATTGCGAAAGCGGTATTACCGGTGCTCGTGTAATACTCGTCTTTTTTTTCCATAATTTTGAAAGATCGAAAAAGCTGGAGGTTTCATTAGAATAAAATCGTCACGTTTCTATTACCTCATTTACTATCAATAACAGTAATAAAAAGTTTTGACATATCAACTTCAATAATAATTGTCCTCAAAGTATAATTTTTGACTGTCCATCAGCATTTATGCCGAAACACAGAAGAGATGCTATATTTAATTTTTTGTATAATAGTAGCCAACAAGCACATTGTCAAGATAATGTTAAGTGTAATGGATAATTAATGGGATGATAAAGTGGCTGAAGGGGGAAGACAAAGAAAATAATAAAATTAAATGTAGTGTTTAACGACAGTGTATCTGGTAACCGGCAGTGCAAGTAACGATAGGAAATATATGATACAATGAAAGAATCGTATGGAGAGAAACAATGAGAGAGTAAAGAAGAAAAGAGAAGAGAAAACAGAGGAGAAGCAAAACACTGTAAGAAGTTGGCAGAAACAATTAACTTCACACGCAGACCACCGCTGCTGTTCCTCCGAGCAGTGAACTCATGGGAAGTTGTTCGCACTCTGCCTCCTGGCTTCTCTACCCCAGCGAGTCAAGCAAAGCTATTCGTTATTACGAGCCCTGTTTTTCTTGCTCGCGCAGTGCTCTGTACCGGGTAACAATTGTTCTATAAGATTAAAATTTTTTTGTCACTCTGTGGATAACGCCTTAGGAATATTGAATAGGACGATTAATCTAAAAATATTTTCAAGGTGTGTACGCATTGTTGTCGCTCCAATGGTAATAAATATTTTTGCTTTATTAATTATTCAAAATTAACAAACTTATCTGTCTTTTGACTTCCACGTTTAAGCGAGTTAAGCATACGTATAATTTACTAC